CTAAACCCCAAACGCCCCTAAGCCTTGTGTTGTGGCTAGGTTCGGTCTGCCACCCTTCGGCCATCCCCTCGAAGCCTGAACCCCCCTTGGCCCCTTGCCTGAGGATGGCGAGAGCGTAGTGGCCTCCGAGCACACGTTTAGGGGTTTTTAGGGTTTAGGGTTTTAGGGTTTAGGGTTTAGGGTTTAGGGTTTAGGGTTTAGGGGTTCAAGAAGGCTGTGCAACTCGGACTGGTAAATACTCAAAAAAAATCTGGAACCTCAAAAAGTGGCATCGAAGCGAGGCCTCTAAAACCTATACTCCCCTTAGAACCTTAATAGAAATACCATGTTTTCTTGGGTTTTATTCAAACAAAATAATAAAAAAAAAAAAAAGGGGGGGGGATATAGAGACAATCTGAGCACCTTTACAGCTGCAGTTCTGTCTCGTTTAGTGGAAAACATCTCCCATGCAAGTCCGAAACCTCAAACGAAGAGCGAAAGATCCGGTCCCCACGCTCACCGACCGCCCATGGTCGCAAAAGTGCAGATCTGCTGAACTTAAACTCCTAGAGGGCCAGGCGGTAATATGGGTAGCCACTTCGGAAGCCAGGTGACAACTTTGCTATTTCAGAACCCCTACTAAACTTAACCCCTTTCGGGCCTTCGACGGGAGAAACAGTTGCAATGTTTTAGCCACCCTACATAAGCCTAAACTCCTAGAAAGTTTGAGCCAGGGTCCCGAGCTGGGGGCGCTTTCTCGCAGCAGCCAGTAATGCATCCACTCCTCGCGCGTGGCCGCACCCGTCCTGAGGGATTCAGGATTTTTGGGGTTTCTGGGTTCAGGGCCTCCGAGCGTTGCGGGTTCTGTGATTCTAGCTTTTTCATCGGGTTTCCAGCTTTTTCTTGGGCGGACTCTTCGACTGCTAGCTTTTTAGAGTGTCCAGGGTCCAATTCCCACGCTTCCTGCGGGCTAGTTCCGAGTGTGGCTGTTCTCGGAATTTCTCACTTCGAGCATCCGCACTTTGTGTCTATTCGAAGGAAAGCAGAAGAATCGACAGCTCCTAGCCACAGGGACTTTCGGCATAAAGTGAAAGGTGAAGCTTCGTAATGTTGCTAAGATCTGTGACTTTGGGAAACTTCTGGTGTAAACATTCTCGGGCTTATAAGAACCTGTCAGAAAGGGGTTTGTTGCATTTAGGGTTTAGGGTTTAAGGAAGCGAGGGAAGGAAGCTGGACTCCCCTGTGCAAACGACTGCTCGGATCCTATTCTTCTCCGCTGCGAAGGGGGCCTGGTTACGACAAGTGCCCATGCAGGTGAGACACGATCACTCCATGTGCTCTAGGGGATCACGCCTTGCACAAGAGGTGGTCAATACTGAGGACCAAACTACGCTCCGACGGCGGCTTGATGGAAGGCACAGGGCTCCGCAAAAAAATGACCATACGCAGAAATCCCAAGCTCCATCGCATTGCCGGAGGTGTCTGCGGCATCAAGCTAGATGAGCACAGACCAAGAACATTTCGTGGCTCCGCCGTCGCCGCGTATGTCGCGCGTGCGGCATCTGCCATGACAGCGTGGATAGCAGCCACGGCGCAGCGGAGATCTTCGACATTTGTTTCTCCATGTTGTCGTCGTACATCATTTCCCTCTCTTTCTCAAGGTCGACTCCTTCGCCTTTGAGCTCGGCCACGTCGTTCAAGGCCGGTAGATCCTCCAACGTGGCATCGGGAGGGATCTCTTCATCTCCATTTTCCCCGCCGGCGCCAGGGACTGTGCCGGCAGCATAGTCATAGTCGTAGTCCTCAGGATACATGCCCTCATCGTTCACATAGTCGTCCTCGGGCGGGGGCGTGGCATCCGGATTGCCGCCGCGGATGAGGTCGGCAGCTTCACGAGCAGCCTCGGCTGCCTCGGACATGGACTCGCGTGCCGCCTCATGCGCAGCGGCCTTCTTCATCAGGTAGTTGCGGAGGGTGTCCGCAAGGCTCAACTGCATGACATGCATCCCATTGATGAGGTTGTCGAAGTCAGCTGCTGGTATGTACTTTGTCTTCTCCACCACGTGCTCAAGATCAAGGGCAGATGCCCAGGGGACGCCTCCCGGCATCTGGCGCGGAATCTTTTCCAGCTGCTGCATGGCGCGGCTGCCATCTGCCTTCACGATGCGATACATGTTCAACGCCTCACGCACGTCCTTGATCTTGTCATGGACATCTCGCAGTCCATCAACGATGTCAGGGCCAAGAGCTGGATCTTTGCCTTGCCCAAGCCGTGGATCCACTTCGCCATAGTCTGCCTGTGGTTCTGCCTCCTCCCCTTCGACTGGGCTGCCCTCACCTCCCCCATAGCCGCGATCTTGCCAGGAGGCCTGGTCGTGGTATTCTCCTCCGGCATAATCTTGTTCCGGAGGGTATCCTCCATAATCGCTGCCATAGCCGTACTCGTCGTAGCCGTGGCCATAGCCATGACCATAGCTCGGGCCATAGCCGTGCCCGTAGCCGTGGCCATAGCCGTGGCCATGGTAGGCATCGCCGTAGCCCGCACCACCATATGCAGCATAGCCGGCGCCAGAGCCGTCGTAGCCGGCGCCAGAGCCGTCGTAGCCTGCGCCAGCGCCTGGTGGTGGAGCAGCGACGAGCGAAGTCAGGCCATGCTTCATCTCGGGAAACAGTGTGGCGCTTTGGGTCTAAACCCTCTTGAGGATGCCTTTCAGGATCAGGTGCAGAGTGGGTCACGGGCTGGGATGATAGCTATCATAACTGTGACCTAGATACCTGGCGTCGTCGGATGTCTTGAGCCATGGCCGATTTGGGGCTCTGAGGTTTCGGGCTCCGAAAACAGTGTTGCAGTAGTAGCAGTAGTAGAAGTAGTAGTAGTAGTAGTAGTAGTAGTAGTAGTAGTAGTAGTAGTAGTAGTAGTAGTAGTAGTAGTAGTAGTAGTAGTAGTAGTAGTAGTAGTAGTAGTAGTAGTAGTAGTAGTAGTAGTAGTAGTAGTAGTAGTAGTAGTAGTAGTAGTAGTAGTAGTACGAGGAGGAGGAGTAGGAGCAGCAGCAGCAGCAAGTGGCGGTAGAGTTGCAGTAGCAGTTGCAGTAGCAGTTGCAGTAGCAGTAGTCATCGTTGTCGTCGTTGCAGTTGTCGTAGCAGCAGCAGCAGCAGAAGTAGCACTGACATTATGTACAAGCATGTAATATAGCATAACGATTGCATAACCAGACACAGCATGATACACCATGGAAGCATAACTTTCGAATATCGCAAAATTCAAAATCACGATCCTTGGAACCCCTACAACCCATCTTGAAACCTATAAGCTTGAACATTGAAGCCGCGAAGCCAGCCCGCAACCCCATCCATGAGCACTGCAAGCAGTGGAGGCGGGGGCCTGGACAACGCCAGGCCGGAGAACAGCTGAGTGGCCCCGGCTAAGATCAGCTCGCGACCCTGCAAGCTTGACAATGATTAAAAAGTAAAAATTAAATAAATAAATAAATATATATATATATGTATATTAGAATCTGTTTGGAACCGGGGAGATTGAAAATTGAAATGTGTCGGGGCGTTTTGGGCTCATTAGCCGTTTTCCTTCTGTGTTCTCTTTGGGGGGTGTGCCTGATGTGTTTCAAATGGTGTGGAGGAGCGTTCAAGGACCGGCTGGTGCCGTGCTTGCAACGACTTGACTAGACCTTCATGGCGTGTTTCTCTCGTCCTGCTATTTGAAGCCTCAATGTGCCTTAGCTGGCCTCTTCTGTCTCGGTGGTGGTCGTCAAAGCCGTGGCCAACCACTGCGAAGTTGCAGCCTCTTCGAGAGAAGCCATGCAGGTGCCAAGCCAGCAGCAGACGAAGGAACGTGGACCAAGCAAGTATGGCCATGCTGCCCCGTCAACACACGCTGCACCCCTTCCGCGCGAACTGCAAGAAAGCCCCCGAAATAGAATCCAATTGGGTTTTTGAGGCTTCCATGCATCAGGGAGTCAAGCCCTTTTTGCCGAGCGCATCATCTGCTTCTTACAAGGGCTTCGGCTACAACCTACCGGTCCGTGCGACTCTTTTTCTGGAAGTACTTGATGTAGTCCACCTCGAACTTCACCGGGAAATCTGAAACCGAGGGATCGCCACCCGAACTACCACCCACGGCCAGATTCAGGATGAGGAAGAACTTCTTGTCATTCGTGAAGGGGTTCGGCCACGTTGTGCGCTCAGGATTCGCCACGGAGAGCTCGAGCCTCATGACCTCCTGCCGGTCCACGCGCATGGACACGAAGTCCTTGTCCCATTCCATGGTCCAGGTGTGATACACTTGCTCCCACTCTGGGGTAGTCGTCCTGGCTGCTGCATGCTGGATGGCCTCGCTGGGAAGCCCGGACTCCCCTGCGTGCACCACGCTCGCCTTCATCATGCCTTGGAAAGCATCCAGGATATCAATCTGGCCATTCTTGGGCCAGGGCACGCCATCCACATCCCCCACAGACCACAGGGAAGTCCACGCGCCAGGCCGGGTGTCGATCTTGGCGCGCATCTCAACCATGCCGTAGGAGATCTCCACCTGGCGGTTTGCGAGAATAAGGGGCCCCAAAGTACAAGCCCGCAAAGAGTGGGATCCCCTTATAGCAAGGACCCCAATAAGGTACCCCTGATATCGTAAACTCCCACCTTATTCCGAGTCAAGAGGGACGCTGACGTGTACTCGGCCCCCCCCGAGCAGTCGCACACTGGTGCACCAGAGTCGTCATTTTGCAGCAGATCGCAGGGAGCTCCGTACGTGAAGTTGGGCGGGCCGCAGATGCTGCAAGACGCATCGTTGAGGACCGGATCGGAGGCGCCGGGGTTGTAGTTGCTGAGTTCACACTGGGCTCCTGGCTTCGTTTGCTCTCTCCTGGCTGTGATAATCAGCCTGCCATCTTTGCATTCCGCGTTCTGCGGCTGGTACCACGACAACTCCTTGCCGCGTTTGTACCCGACTTCGGCTGTCCAGTAGTGGGGGTTTGGGCGCAGGACGCCAGCACTGTCTGGGACGCAGGTGAGATGGTCGAAGTTATCTTCCCAAACCTTGGCGGACATTGGGCCCCTTTAGGAAAAAGGTATCAAGCACAACTCTTCGCAAGACGTTGATTGAAAGGAACTCATAGGCTACAGCTCAAACATGAAGACAAAAACGGTCTGGAAACGAGCTCCCAAATCGGCAGGCCCATCGATGCTGTTTCTGTCTTTCCGAGGCCGTTGCACCTGCCCCTCCTCCATTCGGCGCACTTGCTGGTTTCATACCCTGCGAAGCATGCCGCAGACGCCCACTCGTCTGCTTCCTTCGAGTCGACGAACGCATAGCCTTCCTGAAACTCACACAAGCCTGTGTCATCTTCGAAGTTGTCACCGTCGTTCTCGTCGCCCACCCTTTGAGCATTGTCTTTGTACGAGCAACAACCATCTTTCGCATGTCCTGCGCACATGAGGGCACAGGCCCACTCGTTGATGACTGGAAACCTCAGTCAAACTCAACAGCGCAGCAGCATCAGCAGCAGCAGCAGCAGCAGACAGGCATGCCCAGATGAAGGTGATCATTCAGAAACTACCCACCAGACGGCCATACGGAGATACGAAAGATGAAGCTTCGGCCAGGACGCTTGCCATCCTGCCGCACCGGTGGCAACGTAGTCGTCGCGCGGGCGCTCTTGCTCGCATTGTCCTCTCACCACTTTTCCCGAACCCTCCAAAATCCTCTCAATGCCTGGTACAACGAACAAGGAAAAAAATGCTGGGCGCTGGCTCGCCGGTCCACTTCCCGGTCCTGCTCATCGCGAGTCGCTTCGTCGATTTCTGCAAGGATGCTCCTTGGTTCCATGCCATTCAGGCATATTCGAATAATTCCACTTGCAAGCCCTCCCCCCAAGTTTTGCCAAGCTTCGGGGTCGCATGCGACCCGCCCCAAGAAAGGGGCAAGCTGTGGTACCTTTGGCACACAAAAGCTAGGAAGACAAGCCAAATTGAGCGCGCACGGCACCTTCGACGTACGAGCTGCGTGCATGCCCGGCTGCTTCACATGCGGGCGATGGATATGATGCTGCCGCTTCATGTGAGCAGCTCTGCTCATGGAACCTCTCAGCTGCGGGTCTTAAGGAAGAGTACTCGAAACCCACACGCAAGAGACTCATGATACTCATGATACTCATGATACTCATGATACTCATGACTCTCATGACTCTCATGCCTGAGATGCAACGGAGGGGCCATCTGCTTTGACAGAGGACTCAAGATTGACTGCACCTACAAGCTGAAGTGAGAGCAGCAACGTAGGCACAGCCATGGTGAGGCGTAACCTCGGCAAAAGAGAAGCTCAGCTTGTCAGAGAGGCGAGCACTCTGTGTGCTTACATAAAGGTGGATCTGAATGATATGCTCCCCTGTCAGCACATACTCCTATGGTTCATTAGGTAAGGGTGGGGATGTTCCCCGCCTATACTAACGGTCTTTAATAGGGATTATAAAAGGGGTCCTAGCATCCCTATTCAGGACTGTTCGTATAAGGGGGAACATCCCAAGCCCACAGTTAGATCTAGTCAGATCCACCCCAAACATGGTACACCCAACCGGCCGGACCTCGACAAGGAGGACATGTCATCAGCTAACGCTTGCTCGATCCAAAACCACGATGCCGCGGGCCAAGCACAACTTGGAGCAGGCACAGGGGATTTCTTTTCCGGGGTTCGGTTTTGGGCGGACCCCCTCACGTCTCGCATGTCAAGCCCCAAAACCTGAACGCCCCACAACACTTGCCTAGCAGCCTCACACGACCACACTGGCTTAAGGTTGCCTAGCCTGGGTTTAGGGTTTAGGGTTTAGGAGAGGCCCACCTCTTCCGCAACGAGCTCGGCCTGGGTGGTTTGAGGCGTTGGGCCACTAGGTTGGCTATCGCGCAGGAGTGATTCTTGTTCATTCGGGAGCATACACGCCTTCGAGCACGAGCATGTGCAAAGTTGCATGTGAGTTGGTGTGCATCTGGCACCTTGTCAGAGCCAGCCAGCAAAGAGAAGTACGTCGAAAGCTGCACCTTGAGATTCACTCATGCGCAGCTGCAGCTCGATTCTCTCTCTCTCTCTCTCTCTCTGCCGTGCCATCCTCTAGGGTCTTGCTACGCAAGGGCAGCTCGATTGGGCAGTTGATTTCCCACAGACTACAGCCAGCAACATACAAAGTTGTTTTGACTTCCGCACGGGAGCAGAACAAAGCAGGGTGTCCGGTCCAGTTCACACCGACCCACGGAAAATCGTGGAACCACACATGACCGAGCGAGGCTCGGCCACCAGCTCACGAGGTATCGCTTGCTTTGAGCAAGGATGGAACTCGCCATGCAACGCCTCACTTCATCTGCCCAGCCTGCGCATGCTTTCAACGTGACATGCACGCCCTTCTCGGGCCACGGAACAGAGCGCAGGCTGCAGCCCTCCGGCAGGTTACACACGATGCCATGCCAGCGGCCTCAAGAATGTCGATCATGTTGTATACCTCGGAATCGAAAGCAGAAACATCTGTATCGGAAGCCTTAAAACTTAAACCAAGCCAGCCTAGGGGGACCCGAGAAAAAGCGGCTGCATAATTGTGGCGGGGTGTTGCGCCGCACTGTAGGGATGCTGTGTTTCCTGCGACCCCACCTTCCGACGAGAAAGCTACAAAAGGTGTCTACCTCAAGACATTGAGCGTGTGTTTGATAAGTTGCTGTTAAACTCAAAAACTCATGTTCACGCCACGCGCTGAGCCAACATCTTGGAGAACTTATGGAAAGCCTCACGCAATTTTGCAACTGCAAATCGACATTCATTCTGGCAATGTTGTTGCTTTCTCCTCGGATATGCATCATACCATCGTACTTGGAACCGAATGGTGACCGAAGTGCTCGAGCAGTTAAATTCACCATGTAACAAATTGGGACATCTCTGTTTGGATCACCCTCTTGCCTTTGCAACTGCGCAATGACAGCTGGAGGACATGAATAACACAAAGGCCATGGTTGCATCCGGCTTGACATCCCACTCCCCGGCTCTCGCTGTGCGGCTAGGAGGAGACACATCAAGCAGAACGATAAAACATGTTGGGAACCCTGAAGTTTCCACCTGCTCAGCTGCTCAACTGAAAGTGCCTTTGGGGCGGGAGGGCCAGCATGCTTCTAAATCCTCCCATCACCGTGCTGGTTGGGATGAAGAGTTATGCTTCGGGTATGGGGTGAAACTACCAGGTGACCGGGGTTCAGGGCCCATACGGCTAATCACGAAAAGGTTGCTTTGGACTTACTTGGTCTCCTAAGGAGCTGGACTCTGCAGGGGTCTCCTGTTGAAGACTGATGACTCTGCGTTTCTTGCTTCGGTTGGTCTACCCAGTACCCCACATCAGGGCGCGCCTTCTTCGGAGACTTCTCCATCGCCTTGTGAGCGATGAACTGGACGGCGTCGGCGACCCCTTCTCCGTACGTGCGGCGGCCGCACACATTGTGCTTAAACTGAAACCTGAGCTCGCGGCGTAGGCTTCTCAAGGTGAAGTCGCTAAACTGATCAAACAACTCGCGCCAACATTCCTAAACCCTGAACCCTAAACCCTAAACCCTAGACTCGCCCTAAAACCCTAAACACTCAACCCTAATGCAAACCTGGCCACTGCACGGATCCATCGCCGCTTGTGAGCGTGTAGGTGTGGAAGGCATGGCCGTTGGAGAACTCCTTCCAAGGCATCTGTGCTTTCCCAGGCTTTCGGGGTTGGAGAGGGCTGAGGGCTTAGGGCTTAGGGCTTAGGGCTTAGGGTTTAGGGTTTAGGGTTTAGGGTTTAGGATAGTCACGGCTAGTCTGCCAACCTAGTGACGCTGTGTGTCCTGCCTCAGGACCTTGCCACTGGGCTACGAGGTTTCAATGGCAACTCTCGCACACGGCCAAGAAGACTCACAGAACCGCGCTGTCTCTTGCGACCGGCTCTTGAAACCAACTCGGCGTTAGTAGATATCATTATTAACATGGTCATTTTTATTGTGTATTACTTATTTTTCTTATGATTATGATTATTGTCATTATGACTAATATTATGGCTATTTGTACTATTATTTTTGCTGTTATTATTCTCACTACAGGACTAAAAACTACGATGTCAGGATGTTGGTGAGTTCGGCTCTACAGATAGCGCAGAGAGCGTGCAGGGTCAGACAAAGAAGCTTCGCCTCTGGCACTCCAAACGCCTTCTGCGAGGCGTCGTCGCGCAGCTTGGCGATCTAAGTCGTTCACAGATACTCACAGTCACAGTCGGCAGCAAAGTTGATCACTGCTAATTGGTGGGCCTGTTCGTGGTCGAAGGCGTCCACACCCAATCCTTGAAAGGATGAGACCTCTCCACAGCAAGGAGAAACACACAGCGACAGCTGGCAAAGGGATGGAACTGAACCTCTAATGATAGTGATAGTACTAACAACATGATAACAAGAATTTTGTTATTTTCACAATCATAATCATCATCATAATGATAATACCAAAAATAATAATAATAATAATAATAATAATAATAATAATAATAATAATAATAATAATAATAAGAATAATAGCAATGATGTTGAAAAACCTGCAGGTTGAAAGCAGGTGCACCCAAGAGCTTGCAATTATAACACTGCCCGCCCAAGCTGCCATGGCTTTCGCTGTGCCGCTTGTGTCGGCCTGACAGGAAGGGTTTAGGGTTTGGGGTTTGGGGTTTAGGGTTTAGGGTTCAGGGTTCAGGGTTCAGGGTTTAGGGCTTCGGGCTTAGGGTTTAGGGTTTAGGGTACACACACACATGCGCCAGTCGAAATGCGTTTTTGTCCACATGAGGCCTTTGTCTTCTGATGGGACTCGGTGACCTCCAGCTTGTAGCCTCGTCTGATGTCAACAAAGCGGACCTATCTCCAACAACTCCCACATCACGCAAGCAAGGACTTCTGATTTATGCTGATGCCGCCTGCAAAGGCGCCTGGGAAGTCTTTCGCCATCCTCACGGGATCTGTTGGGGGAGGATTGGGAGGGAGGGGGGGGTTTTGTCAAAGCGTAGGGTGCCGAAGTTTAAGGGACGACCCTGCTCCACCTACCGTTTTAGAATTACAGGCGCCGCTGACCACATCTTACGAACTAGAACCTATCGGCAACCAGCGTGGTCTTCTCGATTCGGGGTCTTTAAAGCAAACCAAGAGGGCCACGAGTCCACAAACTAAAACCAACTGCGTGTCAAGAGACACGCGCATCCAAAACTACGATCCCGTGGGGAAGGGCTTGAGTTTTGCCAACCACCAAGCAGACCACACGAGGCATTTCCTAGATTGATCGCCTCGCCTTGCAGGTCGCGGTCTGGTGGTATCCAGAACACATCAAAAACCCGGCCAAGCGACTTAGTGAGCTCATTACATTCCGAAATTGTGATGGGTAGTCTGGGAATCGACGCAGTGCCGAAGCTGGAAAGCCCCTTTGCGATGACCGCTGCCTTTTGGGCAAGCACGAAAAAAAAACAGTCAGACAAGACGTGTTGAACCACAGGAACCGCAGACGTGTTTTCCTGTGACGTGCATGTGATCCCGACAGAAGGTCAAGCCCTGATGTCTTCTCTTCGGACAAGTTTTGTATCAACGAGCAGCTTTATTAGTAAGACAATGCGATTGCCCAGAAACAGGAGTGAGCGGCGACCATTCCGAACCCACGACTCCACGACCGAAGAAGCCCTACCTACTTCGTCATCCTGGGCAATAGCTCAAGCAGCTTGCGCAAGCAGACATTGGTCAGTTTTTAGCTGCCACTTTAGCTGCACCGACTAGCTACAGGATAGATCACGATGCATTTGGTAAATGGCTTCGGGAAGTTGAGGAGCTGTTCGAGATGTGTCTGGCGACAACCCAAGGCAGAAACATCCGCACCAAGCACCAAAGCCTGACACACTTCCATCGTCCCTACGACCCAGGTCTCGGGCCTCTCTCGTGTTCTATGTGAATTTCAAGATCTGCTCCAAGCACCACTGGACCCCAACGGCTGAACTCTATCTTGGAGCAACCCGAAACCCGAGCAGCAACCGATCGCCATCCCTTTGCCACATGCAGGACGAGGCTTAAGTTTTTCTGCCTCCTCCGGCGCTGGAGTTTCGGGTTCAGGGTTTGAAAGAGCCTTGGTGTAGAAACGGCGTTTAGATGGCAGCTGGAGAGCCAGGTGCCTGCACATGGGACTAGAAGTTTAGATCTTCTCTGCTGCCTTCCTCGGCCTTTGCTTTCTTCTGTCCGCTCTGTCAATGTCTTCCTGCAACTCTTGTGTGGGCCTTCGTTCATGCTTCTTGCCGGTTGACCCTTGAGCTTTCATGAACCTAAACGGACAATGAGTGTGATCCATGATTCTTGCTGACGCCTGTGCACACGCTGCGGGAGTCCTTTCCATCGTGGCCTGGAGTGCGACAATCTGCTTTCCCATGTTCGGTGCCTCCACAAGCACAGGCGCAGGCCCTTCGCATGGCTGAAGCCCTTTGGAGTCCGGCTCTTGGGATGTTCCCCCTTATACTAACAGTCCTTAATCGGGATGATAGTAGGGGGTACTAGAATCATTCTGGACTGTTAGTACAAGGGGGAACATCCAAATCAGGCTCCCTCAAACCTCAATGCCTTTAATTAAAACATCCTTTTTCAAGCCGAAAAAAAAATGCCCTTCGCAAGTTGAGGCACGATGACAGCGTAGACCCCGCTCTGCTCTGTGACTTTCATCAACGCGTCTCGGTCCCCACCGGTCGTGCCAAAGACAAAATTGACGCCAGCCTTCAACAAAGTGCATGGCAGGGACACCGTGCGAACTCTGCGACTTGCACTGCGAGCAGCATTGCAGCTAAGAAACGGCATTGTAGAGTTCAGCATTTCTGTTCACCTGCGAGTCTGCCAACATGCTACCCCGGCGCATTGTGGCGTCTAGCCTCCGTTTGAGCGCACACAACTGAGGCAGCGACGGCGCTGGGGTGGGTGAAATCAATGATCACCAGCCGGTCGCCATGCGCCGCTTTAAGCCCCTCCCGCAAACGCTCTGTGCACACATAGGTGGCATCTGGTGGTGGCACGGGCCTTACTTGGACTTACTAGGACCAGTAAGAGCGCGCCCCCAATTGTCGGAACTGTAGCCGCTCTTGCACTCCAACAGAAGCAGCAGACAAGAATTTGTCAGCAGAATTGACTTGAGCGATTGGAGTGGCGACACAAACACAAGGCGTCATCAAATGCAGACGGCAGACCCTGATCCCTTGAATCCTCCGAAATCCTCCGCCCTGAATTCTTGAGAGCCCTTTTCGTCCTCCAGAGCTTCCTTCTGCGCTGTGAGCTGGTCCGAGCCAACAAGCTTCACCGTGTGCGTGCCACCCTCTACAACCTGGGGTGGGTTGCAAGACAACTGAGGTCAGGGATTGAGGGTTCCATGGGCAAAGGCTTCGTGGTGTTTGGTGCTTTAGGTGAGGTTTCGGCTTTAGTTGGGCGCCAAATCGCAGTGGCCAGGGGTTTTGAAATTGAGCTGAACGGATCAGGATTCGTGTAAGGCTCAGGAAGTCAACTACGTCAACAACCTCGTTCAAACACCCCTACAAACCCTCACTCAACCCTCTAAACCCCCAGCCTGGCACTGATCCGGCATCCCGGGGCCAGTCAGGCCCACGGGGGCCAGGGTCATACCTGCTTGGGGGGGGGGGGGAGGGTTCTTAGTAGGGAATGCAGGAGGCACCCTATGTAAATCCCTTAAAGTAGGCTTGGTTCTGCTTTGGGGGAGGGGAGCTGGGATTTGCTTCTTTAAGGCGAGCTTTTGGGATGCACCTGGAGGGCGTTGTTCTTTTACCACCTTCTTCAGGGTTTAGGTCTTGTTGTTGCTACCCCGTCCCTGCAGAGTGATTCCCCTTGAGGGTGTATAGGGTTTAGGAATTAACAACCCTAAACCCTAAACCCTAAATTGAAGGGACTTATGGTCCAGGATTTCGGCTTCAGGTCGTTCGTGTCCGGCTCTGCCGGACTGGACGAAACCGAAAACCGTCAGGGCTTAGGCTTTAGGAATTTGGGGTTTCAACCACAGCTAGCTCATTTCCCCCGAACCCTCAATCCCCCATAACCTTCACGCCCTAAACCCTGAACTTTCCTAAGCCCGCCACAAGCCCCTCATCCCCCCCTCCCCCCCCCCCCTTCACCTCCAAACGCGCCGAACCTCCAAAACCTCAAACCGCCTTCAATTAATCTAGCAATCCTCGCCCCTTAAACCCTAAAACGGTTTGAACCCGGTACTGAGCTCCCTAAACCCTCGTGAAGCTGGACTTGCTGAATGCAAGGCACCCCCACCGCACTAAACCCTCAAACCCTCAAACCCTCAAACCCTCAAACCCTCGAACCCTCGAACCCTCGAACCCTCAAAGCCTCAAACCCTCAAAACCCTCAAAAACCTCAAAACCTCAAAACCCTCAAAGCCTACTCCTAGGCCTCGGCGAAGGCAGGCCTGGGAGACTTCGTGGCCCATGGCCCCAGGCAAGCCTCGCTCGTCGCAACTTGCCTACTGGCTTCGTAGTAGGGAATCCCTTAAAGGTGTAAAGGGACTAGATGGGGTACCCTATAAAAAAAAACCTTAAAGGGCGTGTTATTTGTTTATTTACTTATTTATACATATATATATATATATATGGAACAAGTGGAAGGGTGATGAGGGAAAGGGTGTTTAGGTACCTGAAGAATTCCTTGAAGGGCCTCCCCAACAAAGGGGGGGGTATAGGCTTCCCTACTGAGAACCAGTAGGTTTGGGGTTTATTCATCGTACTCGGACAGGGCAAGGCACACCAGATTTAGAGCTTGGGAGTTCGGGCTTCGGGTTTCAGTTCGCCACCGGTCCCAGCGTTCAAGGCTTAGGGAAGGAGAGGGCTTTGCCAGACTGGTTCTACGGTTTAGCGTTGAACGCTAAACCCTAAACCCTAAACTAAAGACCCTAAACCGTTTTAGGGTTGGAGAGTTGGAGCGCGGGCTCTTCCCGTGGCGCTTTAGAGAAGCCAGTCCCGTTCCACCGAGCTGCCGCTGACGCAGATGACCTTGCACGATCCCAGGTGGGGACTTTTAAATATTCGCCACTTCGATTGGGAAGTCTGCATCTTTGAGTTAGAAAGGCAGCAACAGAAGAGATAATGTTCGTCCGAGATTCCAAGCCAGCCATCGTTGCTCCCACAAAACTGGCCGGTTCTGCCAATGTGTCTAAGTGCTTGAGCCAGGAAAGATGGAACAGCCGGCAACGCAACATCCCCACCTTGCGCTGAAACTGCCCAGCTCCCCTAAACCTTTTTTACACTAAACCCTAAACCTGCTGGGAAACTGAACTCCCAGGGCTACATCCACAGCCATGGCGTATTCCGAAACTGGGCTGCGCGGCGGGCAGAGAAGGAGAGCCGTCCTGGCCGGGGATTGAGGTGAGGGGTCGATTTGCCATAGGGTTCACAAGCATCCATGTGGTCATACCGCCGCAATCATCGGCGACACTGTTTGCTGCACATGGCCTAGCAGTCATATGGGTATGAATGGGCCTGCAGGGGGCGCAAAGATGACGATTGCCCTGTGGCCACGTTCGTGCACGTGAATGCCTGCCAACTCAACACCCGCCAAGAACAGTTCGTTCAAGGTCGCATCTCAGCTTGGCAAAGCACAACCCCCTCTCGCACTCCCTCTTCTCCCCCACCGCCAAGCACTGTAACCAACCAACGGCTCCAAAACAACCTCCCCCAAAACCCCCGCAACTCCAAACTTTCTCGTTCTTGCTTTCTCTTCCTTGGCCACAAGTGGACCCCCTACTTCGATGGTTTTGACGGCATTCACAAGCAGCCTGAAGCGGCTACTCATTGTTACTTGTCGACAGGTCGCGGCCTCAGACACACAGTGCAGCAAAAAAAGCTTTCTCTTCCTTTTTCTTCGTTGGGCGTGAGGGGCAGACCCCCTGCGCATGGCGCACGCGCGCGCCCCTTTTCAGTGTCTCGCAGAGATCTACACGTGGACAGGAAGGGGGCCCCGAAGTTTCCCAATACAGTAGTCCCAAGCTGGGCCGTTTGCAGGAAAATCGTGGCAACTGCAAGGCCGCTGTTGGGAGACCCTGGAGGTTGAGGTTTTCCGGGTTTTCGTGCCACCCGCCTGGCTCACCCCATCTGGGACCCTTGTTTTGGGTTTAGGGTTTAGGGTCTAGGGTCTAGGGTCTAGGGTTTAGGATTTAGGGTTTTCGGTTTAGGATTTAGGGTTTAGGGTTCGGGTTTAGGGTGCGTCCCCGCGTCTGCTGGGCCTTTGGCGCTTTAAGTGGACTGATCGTGGCACTATCTCAGTGCTCCTCGCTGACTGCTGGCCCCAGCAAATGGAAACCCCAATCAACTGTACCAACTGTCTTCTGGTTTTTGTATCTCTGTCTGATATGGCGGAGACGCAGAACGAGTCCCCACACATTCAAATCCCCGAAGTTCCTGCCCACTCCCCCTCCCCCCCAATGCCCAAGCAGACTTAGACGATTTCCGGCACGTTTTGCAGCATGACTGCCCTTCTCGCGGTGTGTCTTGTGTGTCTCCTGCTGCTGCATACCGCTGTCTGTGCTGCCTCTCTTCCGCTGCTGTGCACGGCGTGGAGCATCCTGATGAAAACCGGAGGTGTTGGGGAGTTGCCTCAGGTAATGCTGCATCCGCCCTCTCATGTGTGGTCTCCCTTTTCCCTTCCCTCCTTTCCTTCCCTTCCTTCCTTGCCTTCCTTTCCTTCCTTTCCTTCCTTTCCTTCCTTTCCTTCCTTTCCTTCCTTTCCTTCCTTTCCTTCCTTTCCTTCCTTTCCTTCCTTTCCTTCCTTTCCTTTCCTTCCTTTCCTTCCTTTCCTTCCTTTCCTTCCTTTCCTTCCTTTCCTTCCTTTCCTTCCTTTCCTTCCTTTCCTTCCTTTCCTTCCTTTCCTTCCTTTCCTTCCTTTCCTTCCTTTCCTTCCTTTCCTTCCTTTCCTTCCCTTTCCTTCCTTCCCTGCCTTCCTTCCTTCCTTCCGGCAGGCATGGCCCCAAGCGGTTCGCCCCAAGAGTGCCAGTCACCAAAGTCTTCTTTTTTGGTTACGGCGATTTTGCTACGGTGAGGGCCGAGGTCCCCGAAAGCCTCTCTGCTTCCCAGCGTAGAGGCCTCCTTGTCTCTCTCTCTCTCTCTCTCTCTCGCTCGCTCGCTCGCTCGCTCCTCCTCCCTCCCTTTCCAGACACCACTTGCCATATCTCTTGCACGGCGATCGCGGCCTCCAGATTGACCCGATACTCGCATCCATGCGCCTGCGGCTGCAAGCGGCCGACAGCCAACCACTAAGAAAGCCTAATTCCCAGGCGTACCAGACAACCCACCTCTGTGTCAAGGACATTGTGTCCTTGCAGAAGTGATGTTCGGAGGGAGGTGCCTCAACAGAACATGCTGACAACGTGCAGCTTACACAACACAGCTGGGATGAAGACATCAGGCTTGTACCAGCTGCCGATTCGCGATGCACAGCACCGGCACTGTTTGGGCTGAGCACTGAACGCAGCACTGCATCCATGACCATATCACAGCTTTGATGGTCATCGATTTCCTGAAACGATACGGCCACGCCCAACTCACTGACCTCGCCAGTCCATATCTGTACATCCCGTGCATCCCGAGGCAATGCCAAAAGAAAGTCAACCCGAAAGAAGGGCACGGGGGTAGAGCATTGAGCGTGGATCCAAACTATCCACCGCTGAGCGATCTGCTTCATCTGTACCTCACAGTCTCTTTGGACTGATTCTCCACCCAACATTTGCGCGGCTGTCTTCCGCAGCATGTACTGCGGCGGGGCCTTGTGGTAAGGAAAGGAGTAGTACTGCGGGTGGCCTACGATCTCACCACCCAGTACGTAAACCATGGCCTCACAACATAAGTCTTCAATACGCTCCTGCACCATGAAATAGCTGTGGCTGCCAGCTTCTGCAGCATGCTCCAGGGCACATTTTAGGTCCCCGCGGTCCTGGCAGAGCGTGACCCCTTCGGATTTCCAAGAGAACCCCACCTTGACGACAGTCCCAGACACCTCCGGAGGCCGCGCGGAGGCCTCACGCAGAACCTTTAGGGCTTGCAGAGCCTCCTCTGCGGCCAGCTGCGAGTCTGCGAGCACGGCGCCGCGAGGAACACAGGTTGTGAGCGGCACGTGATACTGAGGCGACAGACATACCTGGGGTGGCCACACCTTGCCAGCCAGCGCTTTGAACAAATGCAAGGGGTGTGGCCACACCGTCGGGAGCCCGGCCCTCTCAAGCCTGTCCATCAAGGCAAAGAGGGCCTCGTCGTGGATGAGGTAGCTCTTGGTCCGGAAGGCCCCCTTGACCTGCTGCGGGCTGAGGAAATAGACAACCCCCTTTTGCGGGGCTTTTGAGAGGCTCTGGAGCACATCCTCAGTCGCAAGGCAGTCGAGCTCCTCCTCGGCCGCGATCTGAGCAACGTGGAGCTCATACTGGGGCCCTACATTGCGATAGAGGGCCTCATCCAGTGCGGCCACCAGGGACCAATTGGGGGTCATGCAGCCCACGCCACTCTCCGCGGGCTGAACTGCCAACACCACCAGCAACGCAAGGCGCGGCGGCTCCAGCAGTGTCCCAGCTGCGTCTGGGTCTCGGTTTCGGAGGTGTGTTGGGGGAACGCGCAGCGATGTCGGTGCGGGGCAGCTGCCAGCTCCTCCATCGACCCAGTCGCCCAGCACGCGGATTAACGGCCATATTTCGGGGCGCTCGAAGCGGCTCCAGCACAGCGCGCCCCAGGCTGCGTTGACGTGACCCTGGGGAGGGCTCAGGATCTCCACCGTCGCTGTGACACTTGCCTTCCCTGGACGACAGAGGACCTCAAACCAATCCCTCACCTCACCGCATGCAGCTCCCCCAGCTGGCGGGCACGCCGAGCTTCGCAGCACTGCTTTTGGCAGAGCCTGGCGAGACCGCCCAAAGGTCAGCCGAAAGTTGCTGGGGCCAACGAGCCTCAGTTTGGATCCCGGCTCCATGGACAAGAGCCCAGTCCATCGCACCTCCGTGCCCGCCGGGCCTTCGAACACTGCCGGCTCCTCACTCAACTTCGCCTCATCCAATGCCTCCTTCCGCGTGTCCCCAACCGCACCCGTGTCGCAACATCCAGGACCTAGTGCGCCTGATTCACATCGAAGCCCACGACCAGCTCCAGGTGCGGCCTCTTGAACCAGCTCGCACGCAATCCAACCCGCAATCTGGGAGATCGGCCGTGCCCCACTTACGTTGGCCACGGGAACCAGGCCAAAGGCCAAGTGTCGATCCTCCTTCCGGAACTGCGACGAGGAGGTCAGCGGAAGGCGCCAGAAAACTTCCATTTCGGGGATGCCATGCCAAGGCATCTAAAGGTTCCTACGCCTTCAGCCTACTTCGATGTGACATGACGGGACGTCCCGGTACCGCAGGCAACCAGTGCTCCACCCTTTCCGAAGTTGTGCACGAAACCGCTCCACTAGGCACCAGGCCATCGTCAATGGACCTGAAAAATATCAGGAGATCATACACTCAAGCTTCGGGCAGCCCGACTTGCCCTCGGCAGCTCTCGGCAGCTTGGGTGAATGGCATCGTCTTCCACCCACCTCCTTCCAGGAAGACCTGATCCAACTCATCCTACACTTGCCCCCTCTCCACACTCCGCAGAAGCTTGCCTGCCATAGGCACTTCCATCGAGTACTGTGGCCGCTGCTTGGCATCTGGAAGGCAAGGACACCATCCCTTGGCAGAGCGGCTTTGGCATGGGCTGAGCTGTGGTCGGAATGTTTGTGACTGCGCTGTGTGCGGACTTATGTCCCCCCACTGGTCTAAACCACCCAAGCTGAGGTTTCGGCCAGTCTTGCAGCCAATCTCCCACTTCTGGGTTCGGGGACAGCTGAGTGTTTGCAAGGGCGCGTGACTGCGACTCACACGCCAACGACTCGCATCTGACAGGCTCATCTAAGCCAAAGCTAAAGTTAACTAAAGGAAGTACAATATCACAAGACTCTTGACCCCCCGCCCCCCCCCGCACACCAGCGCTGTTCATCGGAAGTCGAAGCCGCACACGCGCGATAGCGCAGCAGGGGGGGTTTCGCAAGCAAGCAGCGCGCCTGCTGGCCGGGCTCGAAGCGCAAGAGCCTGCCGAGGTGCTGAGCTCAGGGTTGGTCAACATCATCGGGCCCTTGCTGGGGTCTCTGTTCTACATGTTGTGCATGTTCTACTCTGTTTTCCGTTTAGTCCACTACTACAGCTCAAAAAAAGGGGCACAACCTGGGGCCGATAACCGTTCACCAGCGCCTCTTCCGCCCGGTCTTCTCATTCAGAAGGTCCATTCGCGTGAAGTCGGCGACGTAGGGCACATCACCATTGCTGAAGGTGGCCTTGCATAGCGGTCAGAGGATTCAGAGGATGTTGGGGCATGCTGGCCGCGCACATCAGAAGAGGGCAGGCTCCACCAGCAAGCGTACTCACCGCTAAGGAGGACGCTGCCAGAACTTTCTACAGCGCTCACGCGAGATGCACGACACATGTCTCCCGCAGTCCGAAGTTCGAGAGTCGAAGCATCGCCCCTTAGAAGCAAGACCTGAAGTCCTCGAGGTTTAGGCGGTTTGCGGCTTAAAGGTAAACCTACATTGACCTTCGCCCCAGGATCCGAAATGCCTTTTGAAAGCCACCAGAAGCACCGCGCCCGCTAGCCTTGCTGTCGCCTCTGCTGGCCTAAGAGGATCTTGGTTTAAGAGTTCCAGCTCTCGCTTCGCAACTTCTGGAGAGTGTTATTCGCAGCCTCACACCTCACCGAGGCTGAAAACGAGACCTATCGACAGGCAGCATAACACCGACTGCAGATGCTGATATATGCTGATGTTCTACACCGGGCTTCTCGAATCTCAGCTTCAAGCTGTTCCACATGGAACTTCAATGAGGTTGCGGACGGCTCAGGCCCGAGCAGCTTGCAAAAGGACCTGTCAGCGAAATAAACTTGCACGCAGTGCCCATACACAGTGGCTAGGTGCATTGCTTCCATTGCCTCTAGCATGACGCCGACAACACTGTGCTATCGACTCCTATCGACTGTTGGAATCTGAGGTTGGGCGTAAGTGTGTGGGAGAATGGGTGGGCAGTGCGACCGACATTGATTCTTGGGTACCTTCGTCCTTTCGCGTGGACGCGATGGCCGAAGCAGCATTCGAGCTACTTTGAGCTGCTTCGTGTGGGCGAGTCTTCTTGCCACAGCACTGCTCAGCACGAGTGAGTCATGGGCGCTGGGTCTGGCTCTGGATCTGCCATGTCGACATGCCAAAAGATGTCAAGAAGAGCACCAGGGAAACGGGCTCAAAAGATGAAAGCTGGCGGATGCTGGAGGGGACCTGCTGCACGATGGCGTCCACGTCGACCCAATTGCCCCAGCAAAAGGCCTTCCAGCGTGCAAGCGAGGTGGAGGATTAAATGCTAAACAGCAGAACTTTCTTGTACAATTTACAACCTACGTCAGATACGAGCTGAGGACAGGGGGCAGGCTAGCACTAGCATGCTTCGACCATGGCTGCGGCAACTACTTCCTAAAAAGCCTATTTATGGCACGACTTCTTTGAGGTTGCAAGCGGAAACCAACGTGCGACTACAATTTGCCTGCGCGCACTTCAATCTCGGCATGTCTCGACAGGCGCAAGGTTGGCGCAAGCTTCCCGTGCCTGCCAGCGGCCGCTGGAACGATCAGCAGCGCCTCACAAGGCACAATCTCGAAGCACTGGCCTATGAAGATCTTGCTAGAAAATGCAAAGCAAGCAAGAACACGAGTTCCGGAACGGTGACACGGGCCTCCCTCTGCGTCCACGGCGCAAGGGTGTGCCATGCCGACCTCCCGACATGCCCGGCCGCCCATATCTCTTCATGACGGGTCGCCAACTCAGTCTTCGCCTGGTCCTGATGGTAGCTAACCAACCTGAAAGATCGGAGCAATCATGGGAGCGGAGGCAAACGGAATCTCGTGCAGACCAACACCTGAGCTAGACCCAAAGATTTCATCTCTTTGGCACATGCCGGTCGCGCTTGATCGCCTGCCTGTTGCAGAGACTTGCATATGTCTACGTCAGGGCCGGCATTGTACGGGATGAGACGCTGCAAGGCATGATCTCCACGTCATTCCAGACTTGCTCACATGACGTCGTGTCAAGGACGGAGGCCGAATTCCCCCAAAGCGAGACGGAACCAAGACGTCGAAAGTTGAGCCCAAAAGCTGCGAGGGCATGGGCACCCAGCTGACGCACCGAGATGAGGGGCTTCGGGAGGAGGACGCTGCACATCGCTGCACATCGCTGCATCCACGCTGCATCCAGGGTGCTACGAGGGTGTCCAAAACGTGAAGGTCCCGGCACAGGTGTCAGGGCGGGCCGACTCTGCCCCTTGCGGAACCCAGAATTGGCAGGTGTCACTCAGACTCACCGGGTTCCCGGCCATGTCTTGCCTACACTGAACTGTGGAACCCTAGCAAAAATCTATCACAATTCTCTAGCTGCCTCGTAGGAAATCTGTAGTACCACAAAAAATAAAATCTATTCCTAAAGCATCCCTGAGCTGCAAGGCCCCAGAGTCGATGACGATCTTGAAATTCGAGGCATCAGATAAGGGCACCAGGAAGTTGACGGTGATGTCTGCATGCTGAATGGCCGAGGTCCCTGTCTGCCCGGTCTCCACCTCCATGGGCATGACAACATCGACACAGATGCCCGGGTTGTTCAGGCAGACTGCCGTGAGATTGCCGGCGCCGCGGAAGATGTCCTCATCGAACCGGAGCACCAGCGGTTGCACCAGGCATCCAGGAGCCAAACCATCTGGTGTACACGACACCGTGGCTCCGGAGCTCGGATCTGTGGAAAGCAGCTGCGGTGGGGTGAGGTCCCGCAGTACGTGAAAGTCTCGCTTGCTCTGCAGGATAGAGAGGTCGCTGCCCCAGTTGCCTGCCAAGTCCTCGCCCACGCAGTAGGCATCGTACTCGGTGTCCGGAAAGAGTCCTTCCAGGCGGACGGTGGCCACATTTCCACTCGAGCTGGCCTGTCCGAAGGTTCCCACCTTCAGACTCGGAGTCGGGAAGCGGAAACACCGCATTTGGCAACAGACAGGGGGGGTTTCCGAAATTAGGGGTAGCCCTATTGGGGCCCTTACGATAAGGGAACCCTATTCTGTGGGGATCTCTCTTTGGGGTCCAATTTTCGTAGAGCCCCAGATCAGTCGGAGAAAAACCACGTGGAGAGGGTGCAGCGCAGCAGTTCAGGATGGTTCAGGGTGTTGGGGTGCTCAGGGTAGAAGACGGTATGGGGTTCCCAAAACCCTAAATACCCTTTTACATCCAGACCACGTGACCCTAAACCCTGAAACCCTAAACCCTGAAACCAACCCTTTTTACAACCAGCCCTAAACCCTAAAACCCAAAACCCTAAAACCCTAAACCGCAAAAGCCTAAACCCTCTTTGCATCCGGGCTCTAAACCCTCTAAACCCTTTTTGCATCCAGGCCTATGAGACTGACGGGTACCGGGGCTAAGCTCTGCGCAAGCCTAAACCCTGAAACCCTAAACCCTAAACCCCTAAACCCTGAACCCCAAAACCTAAAGCCCTAAAACAAACCCTGAAACCCTAAACAACCCACCTAAAAACCCTAAAATAGACCCTGAAACCCTAAACAACCCTAAAACCTACAACCCTAAGATAAACCCTGAAACCCCTAAACCCTAAAAGGTCAAAGGGCACCACCAAGCCTTCAGAAGCTCCGACCCCGAGAGGGGCGGGTGCCGATCCAGCACGGCCACGCAGCAAACCTGAAGCCCTGGCTCGCTGAGCAGCACCTCGAAGAGCTTTGGGTTTAGGGTTTGGGGTTTAGGGTTTGGGGTGTAGGGTTTGGGGTGTAGGGTTTAGGGTTTAGGGTTTAGGGTTTAGGGTTTCAGGGTTTAGGATTTGGGGTTTAGGGTTTAGGGTTTAGGGTGTAGGTGCAGGAGGATGCAAGCGTCACAAAGATGACTTACAGAGACCCGGCTCATAAAGTCCCACCTCCAAGGAGGCACCGGCAACACCCGCGTCCACCCGCATGATGGTCAGCGTGGGTGGGGTCCTGGACAAGGAGCACGGGGAGAAGACTTGTGACACCTCCTTAGAGGTTCATGAGCACTTAGAACTTAGAACACCCCAATTTTAAGTCTACTACTGACCTGCTGAAGGAACTTAGGGGACAAGAAGTACAGTGATACTTGGGGTTAATGAGTACCATGAACCTCCAAGTAGGCTTTTTCCTGCTTCCCGGATATGGGAGGGCATGCGTGCTGGGCTCCGGTGTCGTAGGCTTCAGGAATTAGGGCCAGTAGGGGCTTCAGGGTCGAGAACTCAAGGATTTGGTGATGAGAGTGGGGCGGCGTGGGCTTGGTGGGTGCAGCTGCTCAAGAATCCTACCATTTGCTTGAGAACTCAAAAAGACTGCAACATACGAATCCCTATATTACCCTCCTTAATAAGGAAGAATATCTTTATTTTCCCGGGGTTCTTAAGCAATTAGTAGAATCATGACAGGTCGTCCTGTCCGGCATTGTCACGGACTGGCCGGCTGCAGCAACCACCTGGTCACTCAAGACATTGGGCGTTGGAAGCTCGTCATCCTCGGCAGTGCAGTACACCCCATAGCTCGCACCCTCTTGGAGGCCAATCAGGGATAGGTGGCCCTCGGCACAGCCCCGAGTCGAGTTGTAGGTCACAGAAACCTCGTCACTCGCATCCCGAACTCCAGAGAGCCCCTTGATTCGCTTGCTGCTGGCCGTGGTGTCCGTCTCGCAGGTCACGTTCGCAAACTCGTCCGGCAAGCCAAGGTGCTCCGAGGGAGGGCTTGCTTGGTTGAAATCATCCTTGCCCCAGCAATATGGCAGCCCGTCCTGAATCGCCAGGCCGCACGTGTAGTCATCATCCGCCGCGATGCCGCCAACCTTTGGCAGTGAGCTTGGCGGCGAGCTCTGGCCATAGTCATCCAGTCCCCAGCACCTGACTGTACCGTTCTTGACGACACCTGTCAGGGGTAGCACCACAGTGCCCCGCAAGAACTTGAGCCCCTGTGATGTCCGCTATGCCCCACTACTCCCACGCACCTTTTTTATCCCCTAAGCTGACAGGCTAGACATCCATGGAAGGCCTGGTCCTTGACCCGCAAGCACCCGCTGCACTCCGCAGGCATGTGCCCGACCGGCAACCACTTGCAAGAACTGCGCTGCATCTTGCGGAGCATCTGTCTGCCCATTGCTGTTGTCCCCCCAGCAGACAATCGATGCATCTGCCTTCTGCACGGCACAAGTGTGCCACCATCCTGAGCTTAGACTGCCATGATACATCTCCTCACCGCGGTCACTGACCGCCAGGAACTCGCCTGCTGGCGGGCTTGCCTGACCCAGATCATTTAGGCCCCAGCACACAACTGAGTAATCAGACAGGCGTATTCCACATGCGTGCCTGTAGCCAGCTGAAACTGTCAGGAGCTGCACTGCGGGAGGCGTTGCTTGTCCGCTGTCGTCCAAGCCCCAGCAAACTGCGTTCCTGTCAACGACCCTCAGTGCGCAGGAAAAGTGGTATCCGCTCGTGATGTAGTCAAAAGCATCACTGGTTCCAGGGCCCGCAGTCTCTCCATGCACATCGGTACCCCAGCAAAGGACATCGCCGGTCCCACGAATGGCGCACGTGTGCTGGAACCCAGCAGCAATGGAGCTGAAGGTCCCGCTGGGGGCTGCAAAAGTCACCGGGTCGATGTTATCGGCTTTCCCCCAGCACACCGCCGTCTCATCCGCCTTCCGCAGAGCGCAGGCGTGCCGATGCCCCAGAGACAGCGCGCTCTGGAAGGCGGCATCGTGGATGGTCGTGTCGAGTTCCCCACTCTGGCAATCCAGCTCAACTCCCTCTAACCGGAACCGCGCCGAGCAGCCGTCGTCCACCCACATGCTGCTCCGGTCAAAGCATCCAAAACTTGGAGCATCGCAGTTTCTGCATTCGACCTGCGTCTGGTTGCAGACGTCGTTGCTGTACTCCACCAGCAGCTCCACGTCCGAGCACGGGCCAGGCCCTGCCAGCGCCCACGCGGCGCAGTAGACGTGGCCACCCTCGTCGATGGCGACGAGGACGTCCACCTGCAAGGCTCAAAACGGCTGAGCTCTGCACACGAGGCGACTCTGCAGGAGCTCTTTTCGGGACCGAATCTTCAAAACGAACGGATTACTGGATCCGCAAAAGTACCCACAAACGATCAGCCTCGAGTTCAGGGACCCTCACAGCTTCACCGGGCGGTGCTAGGAGAATGTCTGCTTCAGAGGCCTTTTTCGAAACACGCACATCGCAAATCGAGAGTGGCCACGCTCTGCCAGCACTTTTGTTGGCTAAGTGCCAGACCTCTTGAGCTTAGACATATCTTGAACCGTCTCCTTCCTCTAATATTGCAATTAATAATACCCATGAGGTTTCCGTCCTGGGTCTTAACATTAGGGGCAGCGTCATCCTGAACCAGAATGCGCAAGTATATTGTCAGTTCTCTAAGTTCGGGTTCTTCTTGGGGTCCCTGTCATGTGGCCCGACCACATGGATCGAGTGCAAATTCATTCGTGATGCTCCGCATGCTGCATTTTCAATGACGAAACGACAAGCTTCGAGAACTCGGGGAGCAATTCGCCGAGAGTTACCACACAATTGCCCTAAACCCTAAACCCTAAACCCTAAACCTAAACCCTAAACCCTAATACGGCTTTGCTACCGGAAACCGGCGAGTCTGGAGCTTAGAGCTCCTGAAAAGCGATTTGGGAGCACTCTGTCCTCCAGCACAAGGTGCCAAAAACCTCCACATGTGAGGTGATGCTACAAAAACTCGCGGAGACCCTGAGCGCCCAAATGCCCCTCCCATAAAGCAACTGCCTCGTTCAAGAGGCCGGAAAGTCCTGAACCCGATTTTTTTTTGATCCCAGACTCAAAGCATCAGCTGCACGAACCCTTCTCAACCCAGGCTGGACTGAAACTTGCTGGGAAGGCGCAAAAAACCCTAAACCCTAACCCTAAACCCTAACCCCTAAACCCTAACCCTAAACCTAAAAAACCTCCCCACCTGGCTCTGAGAGGCCAGCGTCACGTCCATGGCCAGCAAGGTCGGGGCCGTGGCATCGATGGGCTCCAGGGTGAAGTAGTAGGGGTCCTCCATAGGGGTTTAGGGTTTGGGGTTTAGGGCTTAGGGTTGAGGGTCTAAGGTTTTTTTCCCTCCTGCACAGCTGGGGCGAATCCGCATCCCAGGGCGATTTCAAGTCCGGATCAGGTTGCGTCGGCTCAACACGGGCGTCCGCCTTCCTCCCTTTTCACAACGCACATTCCTCCATGAACACAAGCTAAACCCACAACATCATCAGGGCGACTCCCATGATTTGGGTCCAGGCTGTCTCTCTGGCGGTCCGACCCTCAGCGTAACAAAAGGCCTTAGGGTTTGGGGTTTTAGGGTTTTAGGTTTGCTTTTTTGGGATTTTTTTTGCCAGGGTTTAGGGTTTAGGGTTTAGGGTTTCGGGTCCTCAGGGGTTTTTTTGCCACCCGCACTGCCCATGATCGGGACAAGTGGGCCACTACGGGGTTGCAGCTCAGGAGGAAAAAGTCGTCACAAAGGACTGCGCCAAACTGTAGGACCTTCGCAGATATGACTGTCGGGGGATGTTCATTCTCCCTCCAAGTCCTTAACCACCACAGGGACCCATGGGATCTAGGAGGTTCATTGAGGCTGTTGCGCCCGGAGTTGCTTCATGAAGGTGTCAGCTTTCAATCTGTTTCACCGGTGAACCGGGTCACTCAGGCACGGAGCTACAACACTGGACAAGACAAATCAAATCAAGAGTCCGAAACACCGACAGCTTCGACGGAGAAACATGGCCTTTCTGGCCTGAGTCGCTGGGCCAAGCATGGGAAAAACCCTAAACCCTAAACCCTAAACCGCACTCCTCATTCCCATCTCCCCAGTGATCTTACCCTAACGGCACGCGGCCACCCAAGTGTGACCACGTCCCGACTTCCGATGTTCAACCATCTTTTGGTCGACAACACAACGGATGGTTCACAACCCAACGGAGTCAGGACGCAGGGCTCTGGGCCTGGAATCACACAGGCCACCGAAAGGCATGCAGTGCAGTGCATTGGGGTTCGCATCTGAAGTTGCCGTCTGCAGGGATTTTTTCAAGCTCTTCAGCCACCCCTCGGGGGCCCGCTTCCGCGAACCCGTGCCCCCCCCAAAAGCCAACACGTCACATTCGCAGCTGCAATCCCCCAAGGCCTGACATCCCCCCCGAAGCCCTAAGCGCCGGCAGCCCTCACAGAAGTCGGACTGTGCTAGGGAACAAGCAAACAAAATTTTGAGGGCTTCTGACATTTGGGGGGTACCTTTTTGGGGTCCTTTTGGGGTCCTGACTATATGGGAATCCTACTATTTGGGGGGGGCTATTGTAGGGGTCCCTTATTTTCGTAAACTCCCCCCAATTTCATCCAACAAGGCCGACCTCGAGCAGCTCCGCGGGCACCTCTGTGCCGTTGAGGATCGAGGCAACCGGCCAGGAATCGTTGGCCCTGCTCAGAAGACCTCCCTCAAGGACGACCTGAAGGAAGACCCTTTGTCGCATACTTCAGCCAAAGTGACGAGAAGGGCTGGCAGTCTCTCTCTTGGCACATGCCCGTCTACGGGCAGTTTGAAGAGCTAGCAGGCTTCAGAGTGCGGGTTTCGGCTCTCACACTGGCACGACGCGGGCTGAGCGGGGGTTTAGAGTTCAAGGGCTTACTTACAGGGCATAGGTTTGAACGAAGCCCGCCTGGTGGAGCTTCCCCCGACATTGTTGGGGGAGGAGGCCGCTACAGAGTCCCGAGGAGAAGTGTGCCGTCACGTTAGGGATCGCGCGATGGATGGCACAGTACTTTGTGACGCAGGCAAGATCCACGGTAAGGGTAGCATCCAAAGTGTACACATAAGGCCAGTCGCTGGGACCAACGCGAAGCTCTCTTTCATCAACGATCCGAATTAAAACCCCAGACGCGTTCGAGGAGGTCCATTCCACGGGCTCGGAGAAGGTAAAGACCAATGGACTGTGGGGCGAGACCTGAAGGCTGTTCCGGGCTGGGCTGACACTGATCACGCAAGATGTCGCAAAAGAGAGGCCATGTCCCTGGAAAGGGTTGGCGTTGGGCGAAACATCGAGGACGCAAGCAGCATCCACAGCCAAGCGGAAGTCAGCACAGGGCTGCCAAATGGCATCCACACCCAAAACTTGCAAGCTGTTGCCGCTCACCTCCACGGACAAGCCCTGGCTGGACGTGGAGCCGTTGCAGGGCACCACCTCTTCGATGCCCAGATATAGGTCCAAAATGCGCAGGGAAGCGTTTCCGACACTGATGGGCTCGTCGAAACGAAGGAGGACGCCAGCTGCCAGTGGCCAGGCAGGATGCATGGCCGGCGGCCGCGACTCCAGGAGGACGGGTGGGGAGTAGTCACCAGTGACTAGATGCAGTGTCTGCCTCGCATTTCCCAAGCCTGACAGGTCGCGCACCAAGAGCTCATCCAAGACTATGGTGTAGGAAGTCGTGTCTTTGAGGCCTGCATTCAAGGAGGCATCAGAGCCTTGTGCCAGCTGCAGCTGCCCATCAGCCAGGACACTGCTGAAACTGAACAAGCTGTAGCCTTCATACTGCTTGATGAGAGATAGACTCCCATCATGCAACGACTCGTAGACCGAAATGAACCTGCAGAACTCAGGGCTCGCGATCACATCCTCCGACCAGTTGAAGGCGAAATCCGTCGCAGGGTCCACTCCCACGGCCTGGACCTGGGGAGCCAAGGACGTGGTCCCTCCGATGTCCACGGAGAAGCTTGTGAGGAACAGATTGCCCGGCATGTCGCTGGAAACCACTGTGACCGTCCTCAGGACCGTGACATTGTTGCCGGCGCTGTCGCTGCAGGAATACCAGATGGTGTAGTTGCCCAACACGTCCGGGTTGACAGCGCCCGCAACGGTCGCAGGGTACGTCCCATCCACGGCATCGGTACAAGTGGCCCCCTGCTCCACATATGGTACGCCCTCTTCCAGGCAGACACGAGCATCGCCCTCCATCTCCAGCACGGGTATCTCGGAGTCGAGAACAATGATGACGCGGGTCTGGTTCACGCTGTTCTCGTACGAGTCCTCGCAAAAGTACACAATCACCTGCTCACCCAACTGGCTGGTGTTAACTTGGCCAACCACTGTGATGTTGGAATTCAACACCCCATCGACGTCATCAACGCACGTCGCCCCTGGGTCCGAAAATAAGGATTCCACCTCCACTTTCAGCGGGGAGGATCCCAGCAGCGTCAGTTGTGGAGGGGTGTTGTCCTCGATTTCCTGCACGTACACCAATAACTCGAGCACACCCACATCTTCATTCGTGCTAACCTTAGATGTCAGCCACGGGGCAGGGCTCTTAGGGCTCCTCTGAAGCACAATGCTGGGCAGGTGCTCACGATTGCCTGAGACATCTGAGGCCGAGACGGCATCACACATGAGCCGCACCTCGACATCCGCCGCTGTTACGGAGACAGCCACGTCAAAAGTCGTCTGCACCAACCTGCTGCCCCACAGGAGACTTGCTGAGCCCAGGGTTCCAGAATCGCAAATCACCGATTCTCCGCTCAAGAACCCCGGCACTGGATCGCCCCCGCACTGCGGGCTCTGCGTCACAGCATCGCAGGGGCACATGCCCCCGGTCCCAAGAGCGGTGTCGTAGGAAGTCCCGAGCGCCAGAGTGAAGATGTGAAGGCGGGGAGTGCCAATGGTCACTGACATGCCATCAACATAATCACTGGAGTCAATTCCGCTGGAGTCTCGAACTCCAGTCTCGAAAGCATCTGTGGAGCCCTTCTGGTAGATCTTGGCAGTCCCGAAGATTCTGTCATAAATCCGTCGCCCCTTCACATTGCCAGCTTGGGACATGGCGCCCAGGGTGTCTACCGACGTGGACGAGGAAGGGAAGCCGGATCGCACACAAACCTGATTGCCAGCCGTGCCAGTGGTGATCTGCCAGGAGCCTGGACAAGCTCCTGATCCTTGCATTGGGGGTTTCGGTTTTGGGGGTTTGGGTTAGGGTTGAGGGTTTAGGGTTTAGGGCTCAGGACTTCAATGAATTCGTCTCTGGGGCCTTGTGGGTCAACGTTCAGAACCTGGACATTGCCAGCACGACCGCACGTCAACAATGCACATGCCAGCCAGTGCCAGAAGTGAAGCGATGACGGCATGGCACAAGTCTCTCCGACAGTGTCAAACTTACTAGCTGTCCTACACCTGAACCTCCCAAGCCTTCCAGCGAACCTCTATCAAATCCGTGCTGAAGTGTGAAGCAAGACCGCCTCATCCCTCTGCAGAAAAAGCAATCAAAATCCGTTCCTGAGCCTGGCTGCTGCTTGCTTCGGGGACTCTCACACTGGCATTTTGGGAGGTCTGAGGCTTTGGAGCATGGATGGTCCTGCCGTCTTGGGGCTTCTTATCCTCCTCGGCATATGTAATGAATGGTGCTTTATGCCCTTCTGTGATTCAGCCGGAAGCGCACACAACCTCACACAACCGCAGCCCGACCCAAAAGGCTGGGGGCCCAACGGTGACACTCTAGCACTCGTCTCAGAAGCACCTCACCCACGGATGACATCCAGCTGAGGGGTCTTTTTTAGTCTCTCACACCTGCACATGGCCCTCTCAGCCTAGGGCTCAGCGTTCTTAGGGCCGTGTAGCGTTTAGGGTTTTTTTATTGGAGTTGTCAACTTGGAAAGGGTGGGGATTTGGTCTTCTTGCTTTCAGAGTTTGAGAGGCGGTTGACGTTTTCGGTGTTTCGAGCGTGTGTTGCTTACAAAGCATCTCAATTGGAGTGCCAGAACCTCTTGCACAACATGGAACCCCCGGATCCCCCCGAACACCCGCCCAGAACCAGGGAAAACAAGCCAACCTCTCTGAATTTAGGTGCCTTTAAAATTTTAACGTTAAAAAACCCATTTAGGGGTCGTTTAAAGTCAAAACAACCCTCAAAGGGAAAGCAGGCCAAGCTCTCTGAACTGCAGGCGGGCCACTGGCCAGGACTTCTGCAGGCCTGGGGAGGACCTCTGGCAGGTCCTTGGCCTCCGGGGATCAGCTTGGGGGCTTTTTGCGGTTTGGGGTTTGGGTTTTCGGGTTGAGGGTTTAGGGTTTAAAAGTTTAGGGTTTAAAAAGTTTAGGGTTTAGGGTTCAGGGACGCCGTTTTTGCCACCCGAAACAGGGTTTGGGGGGGGGCTTCGGGGCTTACTGTAGGGTGTAGACTTCCCAAGGCCGAAGGGTCCCCTTGAACAAGACACAGGCTCTTTGAAGACTCGTGGGGCTACCCTACTTCCCCAACAGCAAGCAATGAAATTGGGGTTTAGGGTTAGGGTCTAGGGTTTAGGGTTTAGGGTTTAGGATTTAGGGTGTAGGGTTTAGGGTTTAGGGTGTAGGGTTTAGGGTTTAGGGTGTAGGGTTTAGGGTTTAGGGTCCAAAAAAGTTTCAAGTTCACCCACTGGCTTAGTGGGCGACCTTCGGATCCTAAGCCACTGGTAGCAGTACTTTCATATATCCACATGCCCGACTACTTGGAGGTTCATGGGCACTTATGGCCCCAAGTATTCAGTCTACTGAAGCCACTTAAGTCTACTTGTGACCTACTTAGGGGACTTGGGGGACTTAGAAGTGCAGCCTTAAGTAGGGAACTTAAGTACCCATGAACCTCCAAGTAGTGCACCCACTGCCCTGCGACAGGGCACATGGCATATGAGGCTCTGGCTTCCCCGTTCCTTCGGGAAGATGCCACACGCACCTGTGCAAAGGCGGGGCACAAGGCAGAAGAATGCAGAGACTCCACTGGGTCCACGGGAGCCTTGTCCTCTCTGAAACGCACCTTCAGGAGAGAAGCCACCTTTGAATTCAAGTTGCGGCCCAGGGAAAGGTTTGGAGATGCTTTTCGTAATCTCGAACCTCTCACTACAAGTGTCAGGCCTCCCTTCTACGTGGCGGCACAACAGTGGAAGCGAGATCCGACTTGTGATCTCATCTCATCCGCTGGTGGCTGGCTCAGAACCGCACCCATGAGCTGTACCTTGAAAGGCGCCACACACACTCGTGCATGCCTCAAGCAACGTTTTCTTGGCTCCAAAATCTGAAGCAGGTGTTGAGTGCACTGGAAGCTGACCAAATCTACTTCGCCAAGGCTGCTGACGTGAATGGCATGGGAGCACTCAACCACACCATACACCATGCAAAGTGTAGGTACCGTAGGCTGTAGGCAGTGACCTATAGAAGCTTGCTTGCAGCTGGCCCTACGCGGTCCTACGACTCAATCGGAAACAAAGACTTCTCATGCCAGGCACGATGTCTCCTTTCGCATCTTCTGCCGCACCTGCCAAGGAAACATATGGGTGCGTCCTGGGTCACCTACACCTCAAGTAAGGTTTCACGCAAAGCTTGTGAGAACCCGGGTCTGGGAGTGTTGACTTCTCAATAGTTTTACCACTCACATGTCGGACAAGCCAGGTGCCCGACACAACAACTGGATCCCACGCATGCAGCAGGAACATCTGCTGCAATGAACTGCCGAAGCAAGATGAAGCAAGCAAGACCCCTTCATCAAGTCTGACCCAACGAACCCGCTGAGGACCGGCCTTAGCCCACACGGCCTCTCCCTGTGACCTTCCACGGGGTGACTTTTGAGGCGGCGAGGGGTTGCGGCGTATTTGGCCAGCTAGAGCACGAGTGATTGGGGTGCTTAAGCGGTCTAAGGGGTTCTCCGAACTACGCATAGCTTATCACACCTTCTCCATCAAAACCTCACTCAAGGCCTCCCAATCCGATGCGTGTACCTCATGGGTTTCTTTACACAGGACAATTTCTTAGCGTCGACATCCCCGCTCCCCTACTCCGGCGCGGACACCACTGAACCCACAAACTTGCTAAAGTCTCAACGCCCGAGATCCCCACGAAACGCAACCCACACGCCCAACCCAATCGGCGGCGACCTGAAAAGCAGCTTGCGTCGCCGCTCTCGGCAATCTGTTTCTGCTGCTGCCTCCCGCCACGTTGGGGTCTACAGTCTACAGGGCGTGAGGGATGGGAAGGATTCTGGGCTAGGGGCCTCTGGCCGGGAAGCGATCGCACTCTGTAGCTGCACGTGCTTGTTTCGATGTCAAAACTGCCCAAAGCTTCCCTCTCATGGAGGGCTGTCTCTTCATTGACATCTACAGGTTGAGACGTGGATGCTGCTCGGGGGTTCCACCAGGCCAGCCGATAGCAGATGCCTCTGAGGTCTTTGTGCGCGTCAAGGAAGTGGAATGAAGCACAGGCAGGGCACACTCCCCCAACTCCAGCTGAGTTGGGCGGAGAAAGGGTTGAGAGCGAATCAGAGAAAGGCCCAAGGGACCGGAGGCAAAGATTCACAAAGGAAGCTCCATGACGAAGCCCGCTTCCAGCAGCCCAAGACGAAGCACAACCGTCTCGATTCCGAGACATGAAGTTCTCAGAGCGTAGCCTTCCATCTAGGGAGTATACCTTGGACCCTAAAGTTTTTGCCCTTGGTTTCGGGGACCCTGTTTTCAGAAAGGAGTGAAAGGGCCATATTAGGAGTTCGTTAAGGGGAACCTTTTGGGGGTACTACCTGAGGGGGTATGAGTCTTAATCCCTTGATTCCAGACTCCAAGAGCGAGCTGAAGCTAAAGCTCAACAAACACACATACACGCCCAATACTGGAAGCACAAGAGTGCGTTGAAGTCGTGACGTGCAAGTGGCTGCGTGAGGCGGGAGTAAGTGAGCAACTGCTTGTTTGTCACTTCAGCTATTCGGCATGAAGGCACAAGCTGTTTCCTACCTTCCATGGCGATTTGCGGTTGTCTTGCCGATCACACTGCACATTACAGCGTTTCAGCTCCAGAAGCACGTCCGATGTGTGACCCTTACAAAAGGCCTGCGCGCAACGCCAACAAGGACTTTGCCAAAAATCAGTGTAATCGCACAGTGCCAGGGCACCAAACACAACAATCGCATCAAAGACAAAAAAGAAGCATGGCATTAGTTTTCGTGCCACAAAAAGTCATGAGAACAACTGCTCGGTGGCAGACGTAGGGACATGTTTGAAATATCATCACGACAATACAAGTATCAACTAGTATTGAGACTGGATCAGCGTTATGCAAGCGATGGTCGATGCACCAATGCTCCGAAAAGAGATTCCTCTGCGAGACATGTACATACACATGGTAACATATGTGGTTTGTATATTTCAGAATGTCATGAATTGCACAAACCAACCTCCAGAAAAACAGGCGCCCCACCATTCTGCCCAATGAAACCCAAAATGACAAACGCGAAAGAACCCTTCAAGAAGTCGAATTCGAAAGAGACAATCATCGAAACGGCGCCTGGCCCCTGGATCGGGCACGCAGAAGGGCCTGGCGCCAGAAATCATCAGTGCCCCAAGTGGCCCCAAGTGGCCCCAAGTGGAAGTCAAGGCGAGTCACAGCTTTATGCGTACGTCTGCAGACACCGTCAATCATAGACCATGGGTCTTTACAAAGTTTTGGGGTAGTACCCTCTTCATGGGGCCACGACGCAGACATGCACGTAGGGCTTTGCATGAGATTTTCTTTAAGCGCTGCCCTGCTTTCCACTCTATGTGAAACGTGTGGGTTGACAGGGCGAACAAATGTGATCAATCCACACCGCCCTGTCCTCTTGAACAAGTACATCTGGCACAACGCACGATTCTAAATTTCTAAAGCTGAAGCAGGCTCCAGTGTGGCATGGTCCACAGCAGAGCGCTTGTTGATTGACGAATTCAGCCCACCGTTGCGAGGCTGACACTGTACCAATATGTCATCACATGCACTTGAAGAGGATGCTCAGGAAGCAGATGCTGTGCACCCTGCGACAATGAGTTGCATCATGTTGCATCCTGGGTGCACGAGCTGGCTAGATTGGGCATCCGTATGCACATAATTAGTGTACTTAGTGTACCTTCACCGCGCCCATGATCTGTCTGATCATTTCCCGGTTGTGAGTCTCATTGGTCTGCGGTGTGAAGGTGCAGTCCTCATCCAGCGGAGGCCGGCGGAACTCTTTGCTGGGGCCCTCTGAGAGTTGGAAGGGCTCAGGGACAGTTACACCTTCGTGCACGGCAACGCTCTCAGGACGGAACACGCGCTGTTCGCGCTCCAGCTTCTCCTGCTGCTTCTTGAGGGCTAAACTCTTGAGCTCGAAGAAGCGATCCAAACCACTGACCGCAATGGGCTTCTGGCTGTCCTGAAAGACCTCCTTCACGCGCGGAGCAAACGTGCAGTTGGCGGCTTTCTCCTCTTCCAGCTCCCGGCGCCTCTCAAGCAGGTACTCGGCCTTCTTCTCCTGCTCCTGCCGGATGCTCTCCAAAAGATCAGACCTATTTGCGTAGCGAGATTTGATGTGCGAAAAGCGTTTCGAGCTCCGTGGATCCAGCTGTGGACGGAAACTGCACTCGTCGGACAGCCACTCATCTTCGCCTGCCCGATGCTTCGACATGGCCGAGCGATAAAGACGCTCATGCGGACCAGACTCTTCGGGCCTACCCGAAGAAAAAGTGGATGCCTCGTTGCGAGAGCTGGCAAGCATCTCGGAGACGGCATTGATCTGCGGTTTGAAGGTACAGTCCTTGCGGTGCAGCTGCTCCAGCTCCACACGAGTCTGCTCGCGGCGCTCGACGTCTTGAACCGCGAGGCGGTGGATGCGCTCTTCTGGCGTCTCGCCCAAGTCCAAGTGGTTCCCCGTGGTCGGTTGGAAGCAACAGTCGCTTTCGGCGTGACGCGTGCGAACCTCCAGTCTCTTCTGCTTTGCCAGCTCGAAGGTCTGCTGTCTGGTAAGGAAGTCCTGCTGAGGGCCCTGGAAGTACACGGAGCCTTTGCAGATCCTCCTCGACGTGTCATCAACGCTGGGGAAGGACTGCAACGACTCCTGATGAAAGTCCTGCAGTGCAGCGCGCCGCTTCTCTTTCTCCTGCGCCTCTGCATAAAGCCGTTCCTCGACGGGTCCAAGCTGCCTCAGGCAATCGACTTGGCCCTGCGAAGCGCACCTGTACAGCACGTCGCGCTTCTTCTGAACGATCCGCTCGCTACGGTTGGAGATCTTTGGCTGAAAAAGGTTTTCAGAACGCCTTTCCTCGGCCAACTGGGCGCTGCGCACCCTCTGCTCACGTCTTTGGCGTAGCTCATCTGCCCGCAGATACAAGGGCACCGTGTGGGTTCCTTTGCTGCGTGGGTTGATGTTTGGCTGGAAGGTGTAAGAACACAGGGCATCTGCCTCCATAAGCTCCTTGGCCTTGTTCCTCAAATTGGCCCGCTTGTCCGCCTCGTGGAACAAGCGTTCTGGCAAGGGCTCGGCGAGGCAGCTGCGGGACCTTCTGGCATAGTACTCAGAGCGGGTGTTGATCGAGGGCTGGAAAGTACACTCGTCCATCTCCTGCAGTTCCTTCTCCTGCCGGGCTTGGACATGCTTCATCTTTGCCGCCTTGTGCTGCATTTGCCATGAATGGAGCCGTCGCTCGAAGGGCTGAGGCCTCTCTCCATTACTTCGCCTGCGCCGCTCTGTCGAGTGGCTCCCGACTCTTCCGACCTCGCCTCTCTCATCCTTCTTTGGCCGCGCCTGAGGCGCGGACTGCGGCCGGTGTTGCCTGGCTCTTTCTGCACCTCTCGCGGTCCTCTCCAGGTCAGGGCTGGCCGACTTGGGGTTCTCAAAACTCGGAGCGCTCTCTGCGGGCAGACGGGCCAGGACATCCGCAAGCAAACCGTCTCTGATCTCCGTGTCCACTGCATCTGTATACTTTGGACTGGCTTCCTGCAAGCGCAAGTCGGAAAGGTCGTTCTCCTTGTACTCCTGGGACAGGACGGTCGCATAATCCTGGAACTTCGGAGCATCCGAGCCATAGAGCTTGTGCTGCAGGCGTTGCCGCCGCTCTTCCAGGAGTTGCTGTACCAAGAGATCTCTGCGCGAGACCCCACTCTCCGTGGTCATTGCGGTCATGGTGCTTTTAAGCCATCGCACGACGCGCGACGCCCAGCTACAGCTACTGCGCGGCAGTGATAAGATTATTGCCACTGCTGTTGTTTAGACTAGACGTGGAAAAATCATGGAAGGGTACAAGGTCTCAAAGAATCAGGCGAGTCTTCAGGGCTCCATGACCATGCGTGGACATCCTCCACGGCTGCGGAAGCCTTGGCCAACTGCACAAAAGTGGGGGCGCAGCTGGGCTTTCGTTTGCGTCTTTGATGGCCTCTCAGGTCCCTCGCGGCACGGGATGCTCTGCGCTCCATTTTTACGCTGTAGTTCAGCAACCCAAGCTGTAAAGGAGGCGTCCGCAGTTGGGAGCTGCTTCCGCAAGTCGAGTCTCATGGTGGCCAATGCCAGCTTTCCAGGCGCCGCCACTTTCCTGCGGCCGCACGACGCATCTCCGCTCCTGAGGAGTCCAGGGATGCTTTCTTTGGCGGCGCTCTACTCAAAGGGACCTGTCACGCAGTCATGAGTACGTGACCATTCTACGCAGCCACTGCACAATCACTCTTTGGCAAACTTAACAAGTACTACGCTGCTGGATTTGTTGAAGCTATTGCTTGAACGCAGGGCTGAAATCCGAAGAGGTGAGACAGGACAGACTACGATCTGTCCACTGGGTTTGGTTTGCAGGCTTGCCTGGGCCCCAACACCCTCACTTGTCGCCGAAACCGGTAGTTGAGGAGGGCATGACCCTGACAGGCAAAAGCACGCAAACCGAAGCCCACGTATGGAGTATTACGGGGTCCAGTGCGCACCACCTCCCACAGCCTCTATTCTCACCACTGCGCTGCTGACGAGTCAAGGCCCTGTGAGGAAGGTAGGTTCATCCGTGGACGGACCAGATGTCAGAACCTTGCACGACGGGAACCCAAAACATCACATCAATCGCAACCAACCACATTTCAGCATCTGTTATGTGATGTATTGCAGGGGCTCCATTCCGCAGGGGAAAAGTTTCGGTGCATCTACAGCAGAAGAGACCACACCCACCCCCACCCTACCTCACAGAGGCCTTAAAGACGATCCTTGATCGAAGCAACACTGAACTCGCCCAAGGTGTCGCCGCCACTCACTGTCTCAATGGAGGTGCCCATCAAGTCATCCGGCCTTGAATGCGAGAAAAGCAATGACAGCGCTTAAGGAAATCATCCTGGATAGCTTGAAAAACCCTAGCTGCCTGGAGCCCTCTGCAATCCCTCGCAAAACTCCCGAAAGCCCTCCTCTAACTTGAAACCCACCAAAACCCTCCCAAAACAGTGGAAAAAACAAGCGTTGCCGGTTAAACATGCCTGGCTGTACCTTGCAAAAGCCAAGCCAGGGGGCATCTTCACGCTGGTGGATTTTTGCTCCGGAAGGCGGATCGCAGGGGCAGACAGGTCGTACATGTCGCAGTCCCTCTTGATCAGCAACTGCACGTCTCCTTGCTTAGCACAACAACCCAGGAGGCACGTCGAAGACTCCCACAGGCCACAAAAAGCCATCATGAGCCCAACTTGGAGGTTCATGGTACTTATCAGCCAATTATAACTGTACTCCTAACTGTACTTATGACCATATTGGGGCACCTCCAAGATACTTATAACCATATTACGGCATATTTTGGGCACCTCCCAAGAACTGCGTCCAAGCATCCATGGGTCTGCTTGCGCACGGTCGGCATCAGCGCATCTACCCGATCTTGCGAGAGCTGAATGCCGCAGAAGATGCCCCTGAGTTTGGGGATTACTTGGAGGTTCATGGGTACTTATAACCCCCCATTTTGTAAGTCTACATATAACCTGCTCAGAGGACCTAGGGGGCTTTTAAGTAGAGTGAAAAATTGGGGTTTTAAGTACCCCTGAACCTCCAAGTGTTCAGGAGCTGGATGTAGAAATTGAATGGCATCGGCATCGACTCCACGAACATATGTATATATATATATGTATAAGTGTATATATATATATATAGAAGTATACATATATCTTATATAAACCATGAACTCGTGTTTTGCAGTCTTGTGTTGTTGGGTTCGGGAGTCGCTGGGCGGCTCGAAAAGAGAAGGCTCATCGACAACCCGGGTTTTGCTTCTTTGTCGGAATGAAGCCGCGTTGCGGCCCTGAGACAAGATGGCTGGGTTGGCTGGTGGCTCGCTCTGACACTACACCTAAACCCTAAACCCTAAACACTAAAACCCTAAACCCTAAACCTTAAACCCCCAAACCCTAAACCCTAAACCCTAAACCCTAAACCCTAAACCCTAAACCCATCTCGCGCCTGAAGCATAGGTTTAAGCCAAGGGACGGCTTCGTTCTGCTGCCAACTTTCGGCGGTGGGCAAGGCGTCAGGACTTCACGTTTCATCAGTCGCCCTTAGGGCTTCAAGGTTTAGGGTTTAGGGTTCAGGGTTCAGGGTTTAGGGTTTAGGGTTCAGGGTTTAGGGTTTAGGGTTTAGGGGCTGCTACATTGCTTGTCTGCAAGACATTCCACGCTCCAGTCTCCCTTCTGCTCAGCCTGAAGGCCCCTAGGCCAAGTCTCCGTTCAGGTACGTCATGCGCTCCCGCTCCCCATTAGCTGAGAAGAGCATGCCCTCACCGTCCTGGGGGCGCAGAGAAGCCCTCAAACGTAGACCACCCACGTTTATCGCTACTTCTTCTGAATAGATTGCTAGTTATCATGCTTATTATGCTTACTATGCTTATTATGCTTCTTATGCTTATTCTGCTTATTCTGCTTATTATGCTTATTCTGCTGATTATGCTTATTATGCTTATTATGCCTATTATGCTGATTATGCTGATTATGCTTATTATGCTTATTGCCATGGCCAATTTCTTGCTATATTTGCTATTCAACGAAATTCAAAGTGCGATGATACTCTCCGAGGAGCATATTTGCCATGGCTCCAGGCTCCCCGATATTGCGAGCCGTCGGAAAAGTAGTACACGCCAAGGCCGCTGCACTGTCCTGGTGTTGGGGGCTTCTGCTTTTGAGGGCCTAGGGTGTGGAGATGCTTGGAACGTGTTTAGGGGGCGCGGAAAAAATGCTAGAACAGTCATCTCCCTGGCTGCCACAAGCCAGACACAGCCCTCCCGTTCGAAGCAATGACACGTCCCAAACATGCATGGTATTGCATGGTCTTAGCAAAACCGCCGAGGTGCCGTTGTACCACCATCCATCATAGGTATCGCCATTGGCATACTCCTGATTGCGCTTTGTAAGTCGACGCCTGTGCCTTGGCCTGCCTCTCCCCCCAGCTGCATGGTGCATTCTGAATTTGCAGGGTCCCTCTATGCCATTACCAACTGGGGCCTGTTCCAAGGCAGGGTCTCCCTTGCAGTGGCGCTTCCTATACGGGACGTTTTACAAGAGGAGCCGGAACTTTAGGACAATCCCCAGCTCATGTATTCCACCATGTTCCACCCGAGCACTGGCCCAGCCTGTACGCCTTTGCCATGCCTCTTTCCATCATCCCACTCTCCTGCAGTCAACTCCCGTGGCAAGAAGCTTAAGGTCTAGGATCTTGTTTACCACCCCAATGCTCATAAGACTCATAAGCTTCCAAGGATATGAACACCTGCAGAGCTGACTTAGCTGATCTCGAGATGTTGCTTACCGGCTGCCATTCCTCAACCACTCGGGCTTAGGGTTTAGGGTTTAGGGCTTAGCGTATAGGGTTTAGGGTTTAGGGTTTAGGGACTCCCTTCGAAGGGCGGTGCATCCGGCGACCAACTTCTAAGGGGGGTAACGAGCAAACACAAACAACCTCTGCCGAACACTCGGGTTCTAAGATGTTGTAAGGTTTCGGGCTTGGGGTGCATCGCCTCTGTGTTGCGATCCGTGTGACCTCCATGTGGCAACCCTCCACCAACAGATCACATCCCCAGTTGCACCAAGGTAGACGGAAGCTTCCTGGAAGTGCAACAACTCGAACCCTCGGCTCCACAACCCTGAAAAGGCGAACATATCGGTCCTGTGTACTTGAGGTTCTCCGGGCTGATGTAAGTGCCCTGTCCGTGCTTCCTGCCGGTGTGCCACTGGCCTTCGTAGACGCTACCATCCTCGGCAGGGCATTTTAGGGTTTAGGGTTTAGGGTTTATAAGGGTTTAGGGTTTAGGGTTTAGGGTTTAGGCTTTAGGCTTTAGGCTTTAGGCTTTAGGGTTTAGGGTTGAGGGTTTAGGGTTGAGGGTTGAGGGTTGAGGGTTTAGGGTTGAGGGTTTAGGGTTTAGGGTTTAGGGTTTAGGGTTTAGGGTTTAGGGTTTAGGGGGACCCTTTTTGCCTTAGACAGCCGCCTCATTGCAGGATAATTTGACGTGGTGTTCAAAGGAATGAAACAGGAAATCGGTCTTCGGCGCATCTCGAAGGTCCTCGATATCTAGGAAGGCAGCATCTGAACCTTTTCAGACGCTATAGCACTGTGGCATCCTGACGTGGAGCGTCCCTAACCACTTTTGACCCTACACCCGCAGCCCTTCTTTGCAGCGGCGCTCTGCTGATATTCCGGCAAAGCCGCTCTCCAACCCGGCACACTCTAAACCAGAAACTCTTATAAACCCCGTAAAATCCTGACAGAAACTCATAAACACATACCCTCACACAGCCATTCGCAAGCAGGAGTCGGGCCAGACCTGCCGGCCCCTGCCATGGAATTTATCGATCTCGAACTGGCCAACGTACTTCAGCCCCGTCCTGGCTTCGTAGGTTCTTCTTCCCATTTTCCCCACCTGCCTAGCAACCTTGCGCCGCACTTTAGGGTTCAGGGCGGGTCACCTGAGCGAACCCCCACTTTATGCGGAAACTGCATGGCTTAAAGTGACTGAAGATGTTTGTGGTTTCCGAGGCTGAGGGGTTTCGGATTCAGGGTAAATTCGCTTAGGGAACTTCGGGTTCAGGGATCGCTTAAGGCTTCGGAGCTTCGTGGCGATAAGGCGCTTTAGGCCCAGGCACTCTGTGTTCTCAAGCGTTCCGTGTCCACTTCTCAGGTAGAGCTTAAACTCGCCCTCGTAGTAGCTCGCCCCACCATCCAGCTCCTTGCGCAGGGGCCCTGCCCTTCTCTCGACGAATTGTGCTTACGTTTAAACTTTACTTCACTACTATGAGACCTTGGGTTCGAAATCTCAGCTCAGACTATTGTAGGGCAGGCTATATTCGAGACGCTGCTTGACTGTGAGCAGCTGTGCAGCATGTAGGCTTATGCAGACCCTTCCGAAGTCGTGGGCCCTTTTTTTGGAGATTCTACGTAGCCCTGAAGGCATGTAGGGCAGGCAAGCAAGCCCGTGCAATGTCCTCGCGACCGAAGCCAAATTGCTTCCTGCCAGACATGCGGCATCTTGGGGCCAATTTCAGGAGGGTGGAGGCCATGGAATCTGGGACTACTGAGGGTTCACCATCATCTGACGGGCCGACTGTACAAGTCCTCTTGCCGTAGACCATTGAAACAAGGACAAAGCGGAAAACAGTGGCCTTCCGATGTCAGACTGCAGGCCATGCTTCTCGCGCTGGGCCTGCGAGGACAGCTGTGAGGCCCTGTGCTTCGGCCTTTGCGAGGGTTGTAGGAAAGGGTTCACATGCACAATGCAATCCGCCTTCACCACCAAGGACGACAGCATCTCGGACCTTTCTGTTAACAAGAAAGAAAAGGCGACGAGGCCCCACAAACCGAGGAACACATCCTGACCACCATGTTTTCGGGGGGAACCTTGGATTTAATCTCCGGTTTCTCCATATTTTGAAAAGAAAATCTGTCGATTCTCCCTCTCTCTGTTGAAGCGGAAAGCCGGTAACTTCCAGATATAGTAATCAGAAAACCGGTTGGATTTCACGCCACTAGGAGAACCTGTAGTTTTTTTAATATTTGAATAGCAACCTCTCTATTTCCTCTGCATTTCAGTCTATTCACCATCTGTAAAACGAATACCTCTGCTTTCTCTGCATTTTAATGGAAGAATCTCCAATTTGCTCTATGTGTCAGTAGGACAACATCTGCTTCTGTACATTCTCATAATACACAAAGCCTAGGGCCTACATCATCCCTCCATTTACAAAAAATGCAACAACCGTGGAGGGGTAGCAGCCCCCCCCCCCCCCCCCATTTGCAAACAAAAGCATCCCAGCGTGGATCACATCTCCTCCTTTCGATTCGCGTTTTGGGTTGCAGCCCCAGCCAGAGGACCCAGGCCGGAGGAAGCACCGCACGGGACCAGAGGACCAGCAGCGCACGGGACCAAAGGACCAGCAGACCGGAGGACCAGCAGACCAGCGAACCAGCAGACCAGGGAACCAGCAGTCCACTTTAAAAATACCCAAAAACACGGGCACTCCCAGCATTATCCAACATTGCAAACTTTTCCGGAGATGCGCCGTCATGTGAAGTCTTTCAAAGCAGAGCTCGAGCACTTCAAGCAAGAGAGCATGCGAGCGCGCGGCATAACCTGGAGGCCACGACAGAGACGTTTCATCGAGGGCACCGCTTTTGGGGTTAGGTCTTGCTTTTCTCAAGCAAAAGATGATGTCCGAGGGTATCGCTTTTGGGGATAGGCATCGCTTCCACAGCACCAAAGTTTCCTAGAGAGGCGCGGGATTTACTCAGTCGCTCATGTCAAGCATTTGCCACAGCTGCGTGCTGGACCTCGCTAGGTTGAAAACTTTCGGCCGAGACGCATGGTCGTCAACTTCACAGTAACGGCAACAAGGGCGCAACGCGTATGTGGCGCCAAGCCACCCCAGAGCCGCTGCACACACGAAGGCTTATTGTGCAAACATGCTTAGATGGGGATTCAGACCTACCAGCGCAAGGTGCTATAAAGTCTGTTCAAGTGTTGCAGGTCCCGGGACCTTTCTGCGCATGGCCGCAAATGGCTGCAGTCACGGGCAACTAGGCAAAGCGGAGTCTCACGCTAACTGTGCTTGCAGAGCCCTTTGTGCAAAAAGAATGTTTCATGGATGAAACCAAGGCCATACTGTGCTTCAGAAGCTCAGTCCCCTTCCTCACAACTTTCTTTGTTTTTGCATGCGGGGTTTTTCGTCAGTGCCGTCGTCTACAGTCACAAAGAAACGAGGTCACGCAAGGCCTCCCGGCAAAGGACTCCTGAGGGGTCATGGGCTCTGTCCAACCTTTTCAGAGGTTTAGGGTTTAGGGTTTAGGGTTTAGGGTTTAGGGTTTAGGGTTTAGGGTGTAGGGTGTAGGGTGTAGGGTGTAGGGTGTAGGGTTTAGGGTAGCTGGGGTTCAGATCGACTTAGAGAGCGTGATGCGCCGGATGCGAGGCTTTCTGTTGCCATTGAAAAAGCCCTGTTCTGCGCGTCAGCGCGCAGAACTGCGACGTTCGACGGGGAAGCCCTAAGGGGCTCAGATGCGAAGTCTTGCAAGGCTCTGCAGGCATGCACCCGTGTCTAAGCAGATGTGCTCTTGCATCATGTTAAGAGCCCCTCTTCCCCTGTACTCCTATGCAAGCCCTCAAAGGCAACTGTCAACAGCCGCCTTTGGGACCCCGTTATGTCTCGAGTGGATCAAGGCACCATAGACCGTAGCGTCTTAGGCTTTTTTCGAGGGTTTGCGAGTTGTTGTTTCAAAGGGATATAGTACAGAGTCCTTGGTCCCACTCGAGCGGATTGTTTCAAGACTTGGTTCTTGCTCTTGCTCTCCGGGTCTTTGTAGACACTCTGATACATTGACATAAGCCTACCAGGCCTACCACTTCTTGTGGCCCAGACAGTTGCGCCCCAGACCTCTTACAAGCGAGCAATGCTTGAAACGTGCAATGTGGGAATGCTCAATGGAGCGACAAAGCTGCGGTTGGGATCAAGACTCTGCCACCGTCTCACAGGTCCTCTGCGATAAGACCTGGTCCACGCATGGTGCACGACGCGATGGCCAATGAGCATGCTGCACCCTTCAGAACTTACAAGATGCCCTGTTGCTGCTACTGCTTCTGCTGCTGCTACTGCTGCTACTGCTGCTACTACTGCTACTCCTCCTTCTCATACTCTCCTCCTAAGACTCCTGCTACTTACTACTACCACCGTGACTACAGCAACGACAAGAAACAAACAAGACTATACTACCTGCCACTTGCTACGCCCTACGTACTACGCCCTACGTACTACGTACTACGTACTACGTACTACGTACTACGTACTACGTACCACGTACTACGTACTACGTACCACGTACCACGTACTACGTACAACGTACTCCGTACTACGTATTACGCACTATGCACTACGCACTACATACTACGTACTACGTACTACGTACCTACTATGTACTACGTACGACGTACATCTATAGTACGTACATCTACGTACTACGTACTCCGTAGTACGCACTGCGCACTACGCACTACGCACTACGTACTACCTACTACCTACTACCTAATACCTACTACCTACTACCTACTACTTACTACCTACTGCTGCTGCTACTGCTTTACTGCTTTACTGCTTTACTGCTTTACTGCTTTACTGCTTTACTGCTTTACTGCTTTACTGCTTTACTGCTTTACTGCTTTACTGCTTTACTGCTATACTGCTATACTGCTAGTGCTAGCGCTAGTGCTAGCGCTAGTGCTATAGTGCTAGGTGTAGTAGCAGCAGCAGGAATAGTAGTAGGAATAGTAGGAGGAAAAAAAGTAGTAGTAGTAGTAGTAGTAGTAGTAGTAGTAGTAGTAGTAGTAGTAGTAGTAGTAGTAGTAGTAGTAGTAGTAGTAGTAGTAGTAGTAGTAGTAGTAGTAGTAGTAGTAGTAGTAGGAGTAGCAGTAGCAGTAGCAGTAGCAGTAGCAGTAGCAGGAGCAGCAGCAGCAGGAGCAGGAGCAGGAGCAGCAGCAGCAGCAAGAGGAGGAGGAGGAGGAGGAGTAGGAGCAGGAGCAGGAGCAGGAGTAGGAGTAGGAGTAGGAGTAGGAGTAGTAGTAGTAGTAGTAGTAGTAGTAGTAGTAGTAGTAGTAGTAGTAGCAGTAGCAGTAGCAGGAGAACAACTGTGACTCTGACGGCAAAGGCTACTACGTCTTCCACTACGACTTCATACGATTGCGACAACCACTACGAGTCTACCAACCACAACTGCCACGCTACCGCTACCAGCATGGCGACGACGACTGCTGCCAAGACCGCCCCTGCCACCGATATCTCACCACAACTACCATCAGTTCTTGCGACTCCTGTCAAGGCTGCTATGGAAACCGCCCAAATGCAAGGTGCGCTCCAAGCTGCGCAACGTGCAAACTGTCGTTGCCTCTCCTGGCAAAGCAAAGCAAGCATCGCCTCTTAAGATATCACGGTCTCAGGGCGGGGTCCAGTTGTAGAGCAGTTTTTACGCGCTCCAACCTTAGAGTGTTGGCTAATCCTTTTCGGCCACATGCTTGTGTCGTGCCGTGGAGGTACCGGAACGTTGAGATTCCGGTACGCGCTGCCGTTTGCTAGCTGCCAGAACGTACCGCGGAATGAGCGGAAATGCATGGACGCTTGGGAACGCGGCGTGACACTTCACAGTGCCCAGAGATCGTCACAGCGCTCGTGGCACGGTGGCGTCTTCTCTTTTCTCCAATGCTGAATGCATACCGATTCAAAGTTGAGGTTGTCTTTGCCAGGACCATCAGCATGTTTCGGAACTGAAGGTTTCAGAAGGTTTGGTATCCTGGCTACAAGGTACCTTGTCACTGACAGGATGCCCCCCACGGATTTAACAGCTGCAACCTGGCTGTTGCCAGAGGACTACACCTGCTAAGCAGCCTGAGACACTGGAGGCGCACATCGCGCAGGCAAGGGAAGGGAAGACAGAGAGGGGTCTTGCCGAGCCTTGCCTCTCCTTACAGTAGCGGGCAAGCTAGCGACCCAAGAATCTATCTCCCCATCCTCACCCCGGAGCTGCCCTAACTAAACCTCAAACCCTGACTCACTTGGAGCTATCCCCTGTATCGCAGTCAGTGATCCCTACAGGGACCCTCAGAACTGGAATAGCTAGCAGCAGATTGCAACCGGCACCCTCTTTCGGGATCTCAAATCTCAGAACACAAGACCGCACACAGCAAAGAGCCAACGCTTAAGGGGACAGACCTCCAGGCCGGGACCCTTCGGCACAATGAAACATTCGCGGCGTAGTTTCGCCTAGGTGGCAGCGAGGTGGGGGGAAAGTGGGGGCTCGGGATTCAGGGGCTCCCAAGCTTTCGGAGCTCCTTTTTTTGGGGGGAGGAGGGGCCTTGAAACACTCACTCCCCCAAGATCTTGTCTTGACAGGCCTCACATCCTGCAGGCAGGCCACGATTGTGGGCGGCGTCCCCTGCGCGCCCAAGAAGACTCGTACAATGTAGCGCTGCTGCTCTGCGTCGAAGCCATCAACGTGGCCCCAGTGCCCATTGAAGTGCCTGAGCTTTGTGCAAAAGCGGGTCCGTTAACAGTCTGCTTTGGATTCTCTGATGAAAAGCGACACCTTCGACACTAAAGTGGCAATTGTCCATGCCACAGAACTTGATGCTCACAGACATCTCGAAACCGCTGGGCTGGGCTCATGCGCGCTGTCAACCTGCCAAGGTGCGGCGCATGGACCAGGCCAGTGAGGAGGACCCGCTGGCCAATGATCTGCTCTGAAGCTCCTGGGGCGAGTTTTCAGCTCGCGCCGAAACCCAGAAAATCCCCCCCAGTCCTACGGCTACCGACATATCTTTACATCTGCTGGCCGTCCTCGAAGCTCCGGCTCCGGCGACCTCTGTGCTCCTCGAGTGCGGGAGCTCCTGCGCTGCGCGCGAGGCGGATGCGCTGTGTGCACCCTGGACAGTGCCTCGGCTGAGCAGCGGCAGCAACATGCAACTGGAGCAGTCGTCATGAGGCTCTGATATCCGAACAGCCAAGCTGCGCAATCTGGCTCCGGGGTGGACACCCTTCGTCCTTCTTGCATGGTTGGCAAGGCCGGGGTATCAAGGAGCTTGCGGGAGTAGAACGACCGACGGGTGACGACTCGTTCCGAACCCGTGGAGGTCGTGATGGTACTGGCAGTCGCCGCAGCAGTGGTACACGTTGACACCGTGGAAGTAGGCGAGTCCGCCCGCTTCTGACAGGTGGCCACCTGAGATGGTCTGTGCAAGACCTTTGCAGCTGGCCTCAGCTTCTCCGGAGCTTCATTGGGCTCTGGCTCGTCATCCGAAACCATTCTGCAGATCTCAGCTGCTTCGGCCATGAGGGCCTGTTCCTTTCTGCGCGCAATAGCATGCTCCATGCGCTGCCGGACCTTCTTGCCAGCCCGTCTCCTGGGCTTGTAGCCCTTGTCTAGAGAGCTGGCCGAATCCACGAAGAGCTCCAAGCTCCGGCAGGCTGCGGGGGCACTGCCGGCGCGGCGCCTCGGCTCCACCTCAGCCTCCTCGGCCTCAGCTGCTCCAGCCTCGGCATCCTTGGACAAAGGCTCCTGGCCCTGAAGGGCCCGCAGGGCGGCTCGGGTGCGTTTTGCCCGGATCCGCTTTCCAGAGCGGTAGGTCCTCTTCTTGGCCTTCACCTGCGGCTCTAGGAAGCAGCACCTCGGGGGAGCGCTTCTGGCCCGCACGGCGGATGGACACTCGCTGGCCAAGCTTTTTGGGATGTCGGGCTTCGCTTCAGGCGCACCCGAGGACAAGGGGGGAAGATCTGGCAATCTGCTGTGCTCTAGGGCCTCTAGGGCGTGCGATTGCCCAGGCCGGGCCGCGCTGTCATGACAGCCGTAGGTTCTCACATCAGGCATTTCAGGGGCGGCGTGTGGTGGCAGAGGAACCCTCCCACTCCGCACGGGGTATTGGAAACCTGCTTGGACGTAGGCGTCCTCACCACAAGGCACGCTCGAAGGCACGGCCGAAGGCACGGCGGAAGGCACGGCGGAAGGCACGGTCGAAGGCACCTGTGGCAGGCCCGAGGCTTCTGCGGGGGCCTGGAGGATGTGTGGAACCGAAACAGGGACTTGGGAAGAGGGCGCTAGGAGCGGGAGCTGCTGTCCCCTGAGGTCCACAGAGCTGTGTAGGACTCCACCACCGACAACCGTGCCCAGGGCACTGGCAGTCTGTAAGGCCATGGCTTGAGAGCCTGCCACTATCACCACATTGCTTGCACTGCTATGGGGCACGGCATTTGTCCTTGGCATGGGAGGGAGGGGCTCCATGGCCAGGAGGTCGGCATGTATCAAGCTACCGGGCCGGTTGTCCATCATATACTCCCAATCCGTGGAGGGGCACTTGCTTTCGCCGGACACCTGCTCGGAGCCCGAACCGGAAGACCCGCTGGAGAATCGACCTGCGCAGCAAAGATTCAGGGACTGTTCCGCAAGGACTTCCAGTGCTGCTGCGTGCATTTGCATGAACTTTACTTAAAGACCTGCTAAACCCTTGAGCCTGGCCTTCTTCTTCTTCTGCACCTGCCGAGGCATGTCGACGAGACTTCCTCTTCTCCTTGCACCAGTTTGGGACATCGGCCCTCTTCACAGCCGTGTCCCTCCCACGAACCACTGCAGGTGCTGGGGGGATACTGTCAGGGACGGTGTCGGGGATGCTGTCGGGGACGTAATCTGCACTACTGCAGGGAGGTGGAGATGCTGGCATGCTATGCTCAACAGCGCAAAAGGCAGTGGAGCACTGCACGTCTGCAACCTCTCCCTCCAAAGGTGGTTGAGACAAAAAGGCAGCCCCTGGCGGCCCTGGTGGCCCTGGCTGGCTTGGCTGACTCTGCGAGCTGGGGCTTCTGGTCGAGTCCTGGCGTTCTGGGAGCTGCCCGAGCTCCTGTGCTGGCTCCGAGCGCTCCTGCGAGGGCTCTGTGCGCTGAGGGTTCTGTGATGGGACTGCTGGGCCAGACTTCGTGGCCGCGGTCGGGCTATCACAGCTGTCATGCTCCAGGGGGAGGACGACATCGGCCTTCAGGAATTGAAGGCGAACCCTGTCTGTTCGGGCCAGCTGACGCCGCATGGACTGAAACTGGCACGTGCCATTCACGCTCATCAGCTCATCACCTCGCCGGAGCGGGCGCAGGCCTCGCAGCAACACTCGTGTGACCACATAGGACATCACGTGACTCACCATCACCCCGATTCCTGTGACTAGGACGGGACTCCTGGCCTTGTGCCTGACGTTCCTTGAGCCGGCCAGCCGGAGACTTAGGCACCAGGCCCGCGATCAGAAACCTCGGCATCGGCAAAGGATCTGGCTATCTAAACGGATGCCACTTCGTCGCTTTGGGCTACTTACTTTCTCGCCGCCCTCTTTTCGAGCTCACAGGCATTTGGGAGCCATTTTCAGCTTGAGGCAGGCTCCCCGTTCATGACATCTCGCGATCGATGGGTGCAAAAGAGAAGCCCTGAAACTCTACTAACCCCACATGTCCCCCCAAAAGGCTCAAGGACGGTTCAAAAGGAACCCTAAACCCTAAACCCTAAACCCTGAACCCTGAACCCTAAACCCTAAACCCTAAGCCCATGTCCCGTGCCGAGGGGCCTCTCGGCCTCAAAGGCTTGGACGTGCCAAACGAAGCCCCAGGGCTCGCTGTGGGATCTCCGCTCCAAGGTGATCTCTACGTAGTCCTTCGGAGGCATCGGGTTTAGGGTTTAGGGTTTAGGGCTTCGGGTTTCGGGTTTCGGGTTTGGAGTTTGGGGTTTAGGGCACTCCACTCCAAAGTCGGGGCTTCAAGACTATGCCAGATAACTTCAACAAGCCTTTGCTCATTCGAATCGTGGGGGTTTTACTGACCCTAAACCCTAAACCCTAAGCCCCCAAGAGAGAGAGACCCGCAGGTGGCCTCCGAGAGATCCTCGGGCACATTGCCGTCGAAGGCCGGCGATGCCTCCTCGCTTTCTTTCCGCCACCGCAGGGCAGCCTTGCCGGGCATGCCCCCACCTTGGCTTGTTGTCAACAAGCCCACAGCTACACAAGGCGCAAGCTCGGCCTCAAAAACTCCACTGCAGGGGCGCGACCGGCCCTCTTGCCACCGCAAGCCGAGGAGCTGTTTGATGGTGCATTGCGCAACACAAGTCGCGCAACGGCAGCTGCGAAAAGGAAGGCTGCTATCAACCTGCGGCAGCAACAAGAGCCGTCTTCTGCTGCTTAGGAAAGGGCTACAGCCAGGCAAGCGGCGTCCAACAGGCCAGCCAGCCCACACCTGAGGAGATGTCACCTGTGCCGCGATGCAGGCTCAGGGCTTTTCGCAATTCTGCCTTAAAGGCTTTGTGGCACATCCCCAAACCCTAAACCCTAAACCCTAAACCTTTTTTTGTTATAACCCTTTTTAAGCACGGACTGAGGCTGCCGGCAACAATAACCCTAAACCCGAAACCCTAAACCCTTGGGCGCCTGTAGCCTTCAGAGCTGACAGAGGGATCTCCGTGTCCATGTGGGCCTAATTTTTCAAAGAAGCCACGGTTTGAAATGAAACAGGACAACTGCACAACTTCTGGAACATTGCCTCAAAGAAATCGATTTGCTTCTCGTGCCAGTCCTTGTGCGATATCGAACGGCAAGACAAACGTCCAGAGAAATATGCGAAGCTGTGATTGAGACACCTCTCGCTGCAACCCGGTGGCACTCAACCCCATGAGGGGAAACTAGCTGGCAATTCAAACATGTCTACTGCGTGCTTGGCTGTTTGAGCCTAAAAGCAACCACCACGTACGGCAGGCACTTCTCCTCAGAGGACATACACGTGCTTTACGAAGCTGAAATTGACTGACTCTACATCTTTGCGGCCATTGTGGATGGAGCCAAAACTAAGCAGCTAACTTTATGGGACTCTTAAAGCGCAGGCATGCCGGCATGCCCTTCTCACACAGTAGCAGGCAGCGCAAGGGCTTCAAATCCGGATCCCCGTTGGCTTCAGGCAGCTTTGACGCTCGCACTCGCAGAGGGGTAGCAAGGCAACGGTCCGCAAGCCTACCTAGGTATACATGATTCAGAGTGAAACCTAAACTCGGTGGCGATCCGAAGCAAGAAGCAGATGTGGTATCAACGGGCTCTCAGTAATGAAGGTAGCTGTTGATGGCCACCGTTGAAGTCGTCTGCTTCTCTCTCACTTGTGTCTTCGACACAGCAAGACGTGCCTATCAAGCGCGCCACGTGGGCACCTCCGCCAGCTTATCAATCAAACACAATATGTACAGCAATGGTGCCCTGCTAAGAGAAAAAACCATCCTGGAACTTCCACAGCATTTGGATCATATCCGTTGAGCTTCTAGCGGCCTGCCGAAGTGCCGTGCTTCATGTACCACGAGATTGCAGCCTCGGACGTCTGGAGGAGGGGCACCTCCGAAAATGTCTTCGGCTTCGCCCGAGTTCGGGTCATGAAGTTGGGCCGTCGCATCCGCTCCTCATTGACGCGTCTCTTCAGCAAGCCATCCGTCTCTCGCTCCAGCTCCTCCTGTCGCACGCTCTTGTCCTGCTCTAAGGCTTGCTGCACTTTCTCCTTAAAGGAGGCATGCTTTGGGCCCAGGAGCCTGGAGCTCTCCCCGGAGCGAAGCACGGACTCGAAGGTCCTCGGCACATGAGGTGTGCCGCGCCAGCGCGGTCCGCGCGGTCCGCTGAGCCCGCTGCTCGGGCGGCTCCCTGGTCCAGCGCTCCTTGGGCGCCCTTGCATGGATGCTTCACTAGGGATGGCCCTGGCCGCCGCCGCCACTCCTTCCTCCAAGCCTGTAAGTCTTCCGAAGGGAAATGCTGCCTTGTGGCCCGACGTCATCCAAACGCGAAGTCTTGCTGGGCGCCACTGAGTACGGCGGTGTGCGGTCTCACAGAAAAGGGTTGATCATGGACATCATGGTCCGTGCTTTCTGTGTCTGCGTATAAACTAGCATCTATGTAACTTACATCGAGGTAAAGTACTGCTGTTGTGTGATTTCCCGCTGTCACTCTGGGCAGATGCCTCACTGCGCACTTCGGGTCTGCTGCTTTGAAGCCAAAAAAGAGCGGTTTAGGATTTGGGGTTTGGGGTTTAGGGTTGACTTGCAGGAACCGGGGCATGACACAGCACACGACCAGGAATGCAACTCACCCTGCCTCGGGGGCCAGATCTGCCGGTGCCTCAGACGAACACTTGCTGCTGAGACAGTAGCTCCCCCATCGCCCGCCCATCGGAACTTAGGTGTTGTGAATTTGGGGGTGGGAACTGACACACTCACTCGCGCAAGAGAAGCGACAGCCTGAAGCCGGCACATGCTCGCAGTGGCCTTCGGCCTCCCAGTCCCTGCAACGCCTTGAGACAGCGAGGGCCAATGGCCAATGACTACACAAACGTCATTTTGGCATTTGGGCTCGAGACTCAGCCTGACCCACTGCACCTCCGGCAAAATGGACACAAATCTTGGACAACGAGGCTCCCGCGAAGGTGGATTGAAGCGATGAGTATGCATGGCCCACTGGCGCATCTAAATTGTCTGCATATGAATCATAATTATGAAGTTTAGCAGAACTGCATTCTAGGTTGGCTTCATTTTGAGGTGTTGAGCTTCTTCGTGTCCTCCCGGGGGCTGCTGCAAGGGTGCAGGACGCAATCGCTTGGTGCGAGCAGCATGACTCGGCTCCTGATCATGGTTGGGCCGGTGGTTCAAGCCTGGTTGTTATGTAGGCCTGACATACGGTGACCGGCCGCTTGCAACCCGTGTGATTCCAGCATTTCATGCTCTACCGAGCCACTCTTGGAATTGCGACGCAGCAGCGTTTGACCAGCCAGCCACATTCTTTCACAAGTGGCAACCCATGAAGCTCATGAAGGATTCATGAGTGATTCATGTCAGCAACGGCAGAGTGACGTGTTTCGTTGCCCGCCTGCCCTGCTGCCGCGACCCTAGAGGATGAGCCAAGCGCCCTCCCAACAGGCCAACAAACCTGCACTCTTACCTTCCAGTGTCAGGAAGACGTGCGCATTGACGGCAAAGCCGGCAGAGCAACCTAAAGCCGCATGACGCTGCAGCTCGCAGCAGTCACACGATGACTTCTTCCTCAGATCGCACATGCTCAATCAGCGCGAGCCGTTGCACTACAAGGCTGCTGAGGCTCTGCTGCCGGTGCGGGGCAGTAGCCACCGTTGCATCCGCTTTGGCCACTTGCGTAGCAACCCTGAGTCCACCAGCTTCGGTTTTGGGTTTTGTTTTAAGGGTTTGTTGCCAGCTGCCTACAGTAGCAGCCTCGCAACCACACTGCAGGGATGCAAAATGTCCATGGTCCAACACAGCGGTGTGAAAAAGGGAAGAATGACTCATGACAACACCCACCACCAATACACTAGGAGAATACACTGGGAGAGATTCTATCATGCCCCCAGAGGACCTCACAAAGCGGTTTCGGCTTTAGAAGTCAAGGTTTAGTTTAGGGTTTAGGCCTTAGGGCTAGATCTCATGCAGGCACGACATAGCACGCAGCCAGGCCTCGTCGCTCGGGCAGAAATGGTTGTGGCCTGGGCTTTAACATGGCAGAGATAAAGGGCAAAATTGCGCACACATAGTGCATGGTCTACATGTACATACATACATACAGACATACATACATACATACATACGCAGATAGATATTCAGACACTTGTTTGCGTAATGAATACGAGGCACGAGCTTAACACACATCCTCACAACTACAATAACGATAATGGCAATAGATAATGATAATGACCATAGTAATGAAAAACGATGCATTGAGAACGATCATGATCCTGATGACGGTGATAATGGTGATGATGATGATGATGATGATGAGACAAACATCTACGAGTCGAGAATGCAGAATATGGTTCGAAATAAATCATCTGGACAACTGTGCTGATTGTAAGAATGGCAACGCTAATCGTCTAATCAGCCAACTCAACTACTCCAACGAGTTCATGAATTGCCGAGTAAGCCAACTATACATCATCGTGATTTCTGGAAAAAGAAACCCCATCATCAACGATAAGTATAACTAGTGTACCGAGTCAACTAGTTATAGGAAATATAGCACGGATCTCATTGTAGACAGCTGCTGCCAAGACTCTGCAGCTGGTGCAGCATCCCCTGGCAGAAGCTACACGTCGGAACATGATGAGAAGCGCAGCGGAACGTTAGCACAGCGCTAGAGGCCAATACGCAATAGGCCGTACTTCGGAATGATCTGCTTAAGGTACCATAAAACGCAGGAATCCTGCTGGAGCCTACAGAACCAGTCCCCAGTCCCCTGAGGGCAGCTCTGCAGTTCTGCCTTTCTTGCTTGACGCCTCCCCTCCGAATCCCTGTCCACGGTTCTTCCCCTAAACTCCCTCAACCCTAAACCCTCAACCCTCAACCCTAAACCCTAAACCCTAAACCCCTAAACCCCATGTAGCCCTAACTCAGCCAGCTGGGCCCATTGTCCGGCGGGATCGGACAGCCAGATGGGCTGGGTGTGGGAGGACTCGGCGGGCTCGGGGAAGCCTCTAGGACGGCCTGCCACTGCAGCGTATGCTTGGAGCTTCATGGTACTTATTCACCAATTCTAACTGTACTGAGGGGCTTCGGGTTTTAGGATTTTGTTTTTCAAAACTTAAGGTTAGGGTTTAGGGTACTTATTCACCAATTATAACTGTACTTATACCCCACAGATAAGCCCCTTAAGTGCCCCAATGTGGTGAGAAGGCTCAAAACCTTAACCTTTTGGGCCACTTTTCCGTGCTGCTGCCAAGACACACTCGCCCAACTCCGGAAACCACACCCAGACGAAACTCCGTTCAACCGCAAAACAACAACTCCCGAAAACTTAACCTTACAAACTACAAACTAAAATGGCTGCCTTCTCCTGAGCTTTGGAGTTAGCAAGGGCTTCGACACTCACTCTCGCGCAAGACAAGCAAGGATTCATCGGGCCCGCAGCGTCAGAACTACTCGAGAAGTCGGGCCAACTGACTTCCCTTTCGGGTGGGATTGGAGTGAAGCTGGAGTGGTGGAGACTTGCAGTTGGATGCATTTTCAGTGAGTTCAGCGTCGCGCAGGCATGGTCGAGAGCATGTTTTGCAGCCAGAGATTTCGCACACCAAGGGTTTATGCAGGTTAGGGTCAGGAAGGGCTGTGCCCTGCGAAGTTGAAGGCATCTAGATTTCGCTTCTTCCAGGTCTCAAGGGGCTACTCGGACATGGAACATATTCTACGAGATACTCTGCGCCTTTCCCCAAGCTTTCATGAGGTCGAGTGGGCACACGGCTAAGGAGCAAAAACGGCTCCAGCCAAAATCTAGCAAGGGTTCAGGGTTCAGGCTGCAGGGGTTGCTGGCGTCCCTTTCCGCCCCTGATTGGCATCCAGGCCTCTGACGGATCCTAAACCCTTTCAACCCCGCGGGCTCTGCTCGGCACCCCTACTTTGGAGGTTCATGGTACTTATTAACCAATGATAACTGTGTTTATCACCCACTTATAAGCCCCCTAAGTGCCCTAATATGGGTATAAGTACAGTTATGTGTACAGATTTACTCTATTTTCAACAGGCTTGAACCCGAAACCTCAATCCCCACAAATCTCCGGCCTTGAGCAGCTGATGGTCAGATGGCGACCCGGCACCTCAGCAGCTCTCTTTTTGAGACCCGCCCCTGTCATCACGGGGACAGGCAAAATGAGGGCTCAACAGAACAAGAGCGGGCTTCTGCTGTGTGTGTGTCATCCTGCTTGCACCTTCCGCCTCACCGCAGGGGTCGGGTTGTCGGGCTTTCGACTCTCTCATGGGGGTGTTCCTGAGCTGGATGCTTTGGAAGGATGGGACTTATATTAGGCTAATTGGTGTTAAATATAAAATAGAAAATAGAAAATAGAAAATAGAAAATAGAGACACTGAGAAGCTCTAAATTCAAACTTTCTGTTCCTAACCTAAACCGGCAACCCTGAACCCTAAACCCTACACCCCAAACCCTCAGAGGGGGTAGCTGTTGGACCAAGCGCCTTGGGGCTGCCTTCGGTTCTTGCGAGCTCAAGGATGCCGCCAGGGAATGGGCGCAAGAGCTTCGACAGTCAAGCAACCCCTAAACCCTAAACCCTAAACCCCTAAACCCTAAACCCTAAACCCTAAACCCTAAACTCGTTGTTGGCGCATCCTCGCTGGGGGTTGGAGCATCCTGGCTGGGGTTTGAAAGGCGCGGCTTTTGCCTGCGCACCTTGCGGGTGCAACTGCTCGGGCAACAGAGACGATCCATGGAGTATTGCTAGGTTTTAGGGTTTTAGGGTTTAGGGTTTTCGGCTTTTAGGCTTTTAGGGTTTTAGGGTTTTAGGGTTTTAGAGTTTTAGAGTTTTAGGGTTTTAGGGTTTTAGGGTTTTAGGGTTTTAGGGTTTTAGGGTTTTAGGGTTTTAGGGTTTTAGGGTTTTAGGGTGTAGGGTTCAGGGTTCAGGGTTTAGGGGAAAAGGGCTTGGTGTTTGTTATAGGCCCATGGGACGTGCCCTCCCAGATGTTGAGGCAAGCCACTCGAACCCTTCCAGAGCACTTTCACGTCTCGGCTACTGAAGATGTGGTCAGCACCACTGTAGGAGCTGTCTGTGGCCTTAGCGAGGCACAGGCCGTTGTGTCATTGCAGCACACTGCAACCATGGCCCAAAAAGCATCACTCTACAGACACACACACACACTCACACATACATACACACATACATACATACATGCAGACATACATTCATACAAACATACATACCTACCTACCCCACCTGCGTGCGTACACACGCACACACACACACACACACACACACACACACACACACACACACACACACACACACATATATGAGCATCCGACGTCCAGCTCAAGCACCTGCAAATTCACGGCAGCACTCATGAAACGTCATGCCTACCCTGACTCGGAGCCTCAGCAAGCTTCTTGATCGTGTCTTGGTTGCTGCCACAGTTGAAATCACCGGTGAAAACCACCAGGTCCTGTGAAGCTCACACGCACAAAGCCGCCGTCTTCGTGTAGTATTGGGCCAATCACGTGCCGCCCGAGTTGCTTTTGGCTTCTTGTGGCTGTAGACCGCGTTGATCTCAGGTGCAATCGAAACAAGCTTGGCGGTTATTAAGGAGCGTCAAACGCCATATGTCGCTGGCACTTCCTGGCTTCACACAGCGATGAAAATGAGCCGTTCTGTTGGGGTGTATTCACGGCACACAATCCATGGGAGCAGGGATGCGTTACAACCGCCAGAACCAACCCATGCAAACACGTGAAAACAAAAAAGCAAACAAAACACACACAACAAAACAAACAGAAAGGGTGACCCGAAGCAAGAAGATGCGAACCAAAACACGGCGTTTCGTCGCTCACCCTCGCAGACGGCAGGCTTTTGGGCTGAGAGTGAAATGTGCGTTTTGGGCAGCTCAGGGAAACCAGTTCATGCTTGGGATAACATTATAAACTTAAATGTCTATTGCTTATTGAGTTTGAGTACCCTTAAACATCTAAAATGTTATCCCCCCGCCCCCTATGACAAAGGAGAGAATAGAATCCCCTGCCAGGCGGCGAAGTTGGAAGCAACTGTTTCGCCAGGGCCACCACCACATTGATCTAAGGGCCCATGCCTTTGGCTGAGGGATCTGCAGTGGCTAGGGGGGTTAGTTGGGGGCAATTGGGGGTTACTGGGGGTTGTTGGGGGTTTAGGGGTTTAGGGGGGTTTAGGGGGCAATTGGGGGTTTAGGGGGCTTAGGGGGTTTAGGGGGGTTTAGGGGGCTTGGGGGTTTAGGGGGTTGAGGGGGTTTAGGGGGTTCAGGGGGTTCAGGGGGTTTAGGGGGTTGAGCCACGCCCGCTCAAAAACTTTGAAGAGCCTTCTGCCGGCTGTCCAAGGCTCGTGTTTGCAAAGAAAATGGTCGTGCTACTTCCGATGACCTGCGGCGAAGGGCTGGGGATTGAAACATGTATGGAACCCCGCCAGCCTATCGTGCCTGAAGCCGGACCCAATTCATCTTGCGGTCTCCGTACTTATCCCTGCCAGGGAGAAAGTTGGAGACCACAAGCTCGGACCCGACTTTTCCAAGGAGGCTACGCTTCTTGTTGCCAGCCTGGCGATCCACACCGTACCCGGCCCATCCACTGCACGATATTTGGTGTGCTGCCAAGCCATCGGGGCGTCGTTGCCTGGCAGGGCGGGCAACACATTCGCAGCGGGTGCTTTCTCAAGGAAAGCATTGACAGAAAACTGCCTTTGGCTGGCGTGTAGTACTCGAAGCTTGTAGCCAAACTGGTGCCGGTGATGACTTTGCCTGTTTTGCCAAATGAGTTTGCGCATGGCGCGCGAATGTTACGGCAAAGGTGACGTCAATTGTTCAAGCAGATGGCCTACGTCATCACATTCTTGGAAGCCAATGAGGTCAAAGGGGCCATTCTCTTGGATTCTGGCAAACAATTTTTGAAATCCCTTTCCATCTGCGTATTGAGGACAGTTCCCGTACTCGTCCGACACGCACCACCAATACAGATTGTAGGTCACCACCTGAGATTACGAGGCCAGTGCCAGGAACAGCATTTAACACAACAAAAGCAACAAGCAATGCAACATCGCAGAACGAACAACCCTCACCAGCAACATGCCATGAACTAAGCTTCCCGCAACCAAAGGTTGCCCACCAGCACGAATCGAAGCATTCACAGCATCCACAGCTTCCACCGCAAGGGATCGGTTGGATATCACACTTTGGACAATCCCCAGCAAGCTGCTGCAAAGCCACAAGAAGAAGCTGCGCTTCATGGCGAACCCTGCAGTGCTTGAGCCAGATCCCTGCAAAAGCGGGTGCAGAACTGCTGGTGCCAGAGAAAGCCATCACACTTGCTGGCGCGAGTGCGTGTCTCAAACAATGTGCTGCCACCATACCGGCGTTGTTTCCTGTGGCAGATGGGTTTGTGCACACAGACACTAAGCAATTACTCAGCCTGCGCGCCGGCACCGTGCTTTGCACGGCGACGGTTGCGCAGCAGGCATGGCGCTGAGTGAAAGTGATGCGGACTGCGCAACCGTACGAGGACCAGTTCTGTCATGAGTTGCTTGCGAAAGCTCAAGAAGCGGTCTGAGGAGGGAGAGGAAAGAGGGAGAGATGGCGAGAGAGAGCAAAATAGACATGTATGTCTTACATTAAAGAAACAAAGTATATCTACATAAAAATATATACACATGTCATATATATATATATACATGACATGCCTAAGAATAATAATGAGAGTAGCAATAATACACAATGATTGACTCAGAATGAGGTCTGGTAGCTGCTTGTTGTGGCGCCTTATCCTTTTGACACAAACATGAAACACTCTCCGGGATCACTGGGCCTCTCTCTGCACGAATGTGCAGCACTTTGCACGGCGGTTGCCCAACATGCTGCACAAATATAAAACGACGGAGACCGCACAGAGCGTACGTCACGTACGAGGACCTGTTCCGTCATGAGTTGCACATGAGAAGAGCGACAGGTCTTGCAACGACCGTCATTACGGTCACTAGAGACAAGTAAAGGAAATGCACGATGATGCCCTGCTTTGACGACATCCAGCACGATGAGAAAACCACGCCGACGCCTTCGACGCCGACGATGTTGTCTAATGCGGCACAAGCACGATTCATACCAAAATCCAAAGTCTAAATCGTCACACATATCCTGCAGCCGGCGGAGGCTCCAAAACAGCCTGCACTGCTGTGAATATGGGCTGATCCTAAACCCATCTGCAACCCTTTCACAGCCATGTCAAGCTCAAGTCACGCATGCACCACTCCGACAGAGCCCACACCGCTCCCCAATCCAAACTCCCAAAAAAACACAATATGTTTAGCATCACAGCTGATGTGGAGCCATCCACGACGTTTTCGGACGGGTCATTACAGATAAATCTCTCTCCACGGAATTCTCTGAGGTTGGGCACTCCAGGGACGCTCGGCGGGACTTCTGCGGGCTCCCCTAAACCAGTCGGCAGGTCTCTCTGCGGGCTCCTCTGAAGAATACACTCCCCTCTGCGGGCTTCTCTGGGGTGGGCACTGCGCTTCTCTGGGGTGGGCACTCCAGGGTTCTCTGGGCACTGCATGGAAACTCGGCGGAATTGAATATGGCTTCTCTCCGGCGGGATTCTCTGCGCAATTCTGCGCGGGTAAATTTTTTCTGTGGCTCCAATTAAGGGATTGTGTAGGGGTCGGAACTCCAAGAACTAGGCCTAAAAGACCGAGCGGGACACAGAGGAGCATGGTTGACTTAAAATCTAACAACCCCCGCACCGAATGTGAGAAACACGCGTCCGAACCTCATAAAGCAGTGTCCGTTCATGGGCATGTGGAGGGGGGGTGTGTTCAAGGTCCGGAGGCGAGGGCGTGACCCTGATAGCGCAAGCAGGACACAAAAACAACAAAACAACAATTTGCTCGACATTGTACAGTACATGTAGACATCCATGAATCCGCCCCTCAGCATCCTCAATCCTCGCAGGGCTCCGGCCTTGAGCAGCTGGTGGTCAGATGGCCATCCGTTATCTGAGCAAGTCACTGCAAGTCTCTGCAAGTCTGTGAGTCTATGACATGCGGTGGCTCGAGGCTCAACCAGTCGTCCCATCTCCCAGATATTGAGGCAAGCCACTCGAACCGGTCCAGACCACTTTCATTCCCCAGTTGCTGAAGATGTGGTCAGCACCGCCGAAGGAATTGTCAGTGGCCTTAGCGCAGCACGAGTCGTCGTGCCATTGCTGCCCATCGCTGAAGAAGCGTCGCTCATCTTGACACTACCTCTCCCTCCCTCCCTCCCTCCCTCCCTTCCTCCCTCCCTTCCTCCCTCCCTTCCTCCCTCCGCCACGCAGTGCGAATGACATGAGCATCCGACGGCCAGCTCGAACACCTGCAAGTTCACAACAACACTCATTACTCGCCGTGCCCGGCCTGACCCGGAACCTGAGCAAGCTTCTTGATCGTGTCTGAGTTGCCATCACAGTTGAAGTCGCCCGTGAAAACCATTTGATCCTGCGACCCAGCCACAAGCAGCTCCATCTTCAGATGGTCAATGTCTCATGTGCCGTCCAAGCTGCTTGCGGCTGCTTGTGGCTGTAAACAGCTTTGATCTCAGATACAATACAAGCGCAAGCAGATGCCCAGACAGCAAAAGACACTGCTCTTCGGCCGGGCCACGATGCTGTCTGCAAGCGCAAAGCCGGGGCCACCCCAGCATTGACCCAAGGGTCCATGCCTAGAAACTCTACAGTGGCTTTACAGTGACTCCATTACAGTGCCCTAAAGCAGAGCACGTCAACACTTTGAAGCCTTTTGGCTTTTGTCTGTCTGCTGGCCAAGGCTCGTGTTCGCAAAGAAAATGGTCGCACCACTTCCAATGACCTGCTTCGACAAAAAAACGGAGCTGAAACAGTTGTGGACCTCCCAACCTGTTGTGCCTTGAGCCGGACCCAATTCATGTTGCGGTCGCCATACATGTCCCTGCCGGTTGGGACAAATGGATAAAGACGCTAGATCTGGCCTTTTCCAACCCCATCGCTTGCGAGCAGGATCAAGCAAGGCAATCCTATACTTGCAGCAGGCTTTAGTAGCTGCATACGCCTGGCGATCCACATCGTAGCTGGCCCATCCACTGCAAAGAATTTGCTTTTCTGCCAAGCCAGCGGGGCGTCGTTGCCTGGTACCGCTGGAACGCATTTCCGGGGACTAAAACTGCCAGATGCAAAGGAGTTGGTCCTGGGGGCGGCGTGAAGAAGTCGAAAGTCGAACCCAGACCGGCGCCCCAGATGACTCTGCCTGCGTGGCAAAAGAGAACAAATGACGCACGAATACTACGACAGAGACGAACTCACCATTTTCAAGCACATGGCCTATGTCTGAGCATTCTTGGAAGCCAATGAGGTCAAGGGGAGCACTCTCTTGGATTCTGGAAAATATTGGCTGAAATCCTGACCCACCAGCCCATTGAGGACAAGTCCCGAACTCGTCCGAAATGCACCACCAATACAAATTGTAGGACGCCACCTCAGAAAGCACGAGGACAGAGCCGAAGCACCGAGGCAAAACACAATCCCTTCAGCGGCTTCAGCCCTGCCACAAACTTAGCTTCCGGCAGCAAGCTGTTGCCCACTGACACGAAGCGAGTGGATCACCAAGCTGCAAATCCACAACACGATGCTGGCCTTCATGGCGAACCCCTGTGCTTGAGCCAAAGCCCTGCAAACAAGTGCCGAAGATGCTGGCGAAGCAATGCCATTACGTGCAGTGTCGCAGAATCACTTGGGAGCCCCCATGTGTTTCATCATGTGCTCCATCAACACAGCGATGGTGTTGCTTGCTGTGGCGCCTAACTGTCGGCCACAGACACGAAACTATCTCCCGGTCTCCGCACCAGAGTGCTTTGCACAGCGCCGGTTGCCCAGCAGGCAGTGCAGAGTGAAAATGACAGGCTGCACAGACCGCACAAGGACGACCTCCGCCACAGAATGAACGGTCTGAGCAAAGAGAAACGCGGAGTGACAGGTCTGGTAACGACCGTCGGTCACGGTCAGAACTGCACTATATGCAAGGAACGGAAATGTGCGATGATGCCCTTCTTTGTGATGACATCCAGCACGATGAAGAAATGGCGGCGCCGGCGGCTTCGTCGCCAACGACGTCGTAAAACGGCACAAGCACGATCCATAACAAAGTCCAAAGCCAAAATCGTCACACATAGCCTGCGGCCGGCGGAGGCTCCAGAACTGCCTGCCACTGACGAAACATGACAAAAACAAGGGCTGAACCTAAATCCCATCTTCAAGAATCTGGTCCCGACCGCACCCCAGCCAAAAACTCCATCAAACAGAGAAGGCATCGGCTCCCGGCCGAGGCATATGGAACAAGCACACCAGGATCTGGTCTCCCCGCTTAGGCCTTTGGCTGGTTACTTGGCAATACCTGGGAAACTCCCCCTATCCTAAGCCGCTGGGTCTGAAACCCTTCTGTACCAATGTCCTTCTTGCGCGCAAGCGCTGGCAATCACACCCCCAGTAGACCCTGCCCACCAGGGTACATGAAGGGAGACAAGAGGGGAGGCAAGCCTTCAAAATACAGACCCTGGCCAGCAAAGGGGCCACCGATCGAAGGCATGGTGGCACCGGATTGAGCCACCAAATGTGAGCCACCAAGCCACCGAGACACCGGATCGAGGGCCTGGCGAAAGCCCCGAAAATCGCCGGTCTGAGCCACCACCAAAGTTCGAGCCACCGAGCCCGCAGATTGAGCCGACTCAAGGGAGCCATCAGAATACAAAGAGAACGGAAAAGGCCACCCACAAGGCAGACAAGGACCAGGAATGCGGGTGAACGCCACCTAGTTGAAGCAAAAAGGGAAGACGCGAAGAGAGACAAAGGGAGACAAGGACTCCAGAAACCCACCAAAGTCCAACAGACATAAAGAGAGACAAAAGCCAGCAAAGGGAGATAAGAAGCCCAGGAACCCGGCAAAGGTCACCCACATTAAGGGCGATAAAACGATAATCACACAGCGAAGGCCCGAAACTGTGCACACATTAGCCTCTTTACTGCATCCTCACTTCAAGTGAGTTATTCAAGACGTTTTCAAATGGGTCCTTTTTGACTGAAGACAAACTTTTAAGGTGAAGCGCTTGAGGCACCTTCAGATTCAAACTGAAACTTTAAGCAAGTATCCAAACGACACGCTGTGCTTCTTAAGGTTGACGCGGATTCAACGTTAGAATGCTTTCACGTAGAGCCATTGGATATTTTGCAGGTTTGGTAAACAAGCTTCATTCAGCAGTTTCAACATGAAGGAAGCCACAAAGAAGCCACAAGGTGAGACAAGCCACCGCAAACCCCGCAAACCCCACAGGCCTATCTCGACTGTTTTGGGGAATAAGCAGTTATGAAGGCAGACACGGGCTCCAGGAACCTAGGAACCTGGCCTCCCACATAAAAGGAAACAAAAAGGAGACGAGTGGCTTGCCCTGACAGAGAGGAGAGAGGCAGACTGAGAAAGGGAGACAAAGAAAGAGAAGGGCTGCAAGAACCCAAACAACGGCCCCCACGTGAAGGAGAAGGAAAGATGGACAAGGATTCCGGAAAACCACAACTGGAGGAAACGACAGACGCCTAGATGAAGGAGGTGACGGACTCCAGGAAGCCCCGACGGCAGACACCCACATGGGAGACAAAGCAGTCTGGCAAAGGCCACCCGCATGAAGACCAAAAGAAGCAAAAGCGGGAGCCCCAGCAACCCGGCAACAGTCACCAGCATGTCGGGGCAGCCCTTGCATGACCCAACAATACGACCTACGCACACCGCACAAGTAGGCTCTTGAGGATTGGAGGTGCTACTGAAGGCTCAAACCCTAAACCCTAAACCCTAGGGCGTGTTCTTACCAGCCGTCGCCCTCAGCAACCCGCAATCCTCGCCGAGCTCCGGCCTTGAGCAGCTGGTGGTCCGATGGCCATCCGTTATCTGAGCAAGACACTGCACATGGGCATTTGCGAACATGAGGGGTACCCTTTAGGATAAGGACCCAAATAAGGTGCCCCTATTTTCGTAACCCCCCAAGCCAATGACATGCGATGGCTCGTGGCTGCTGCAACTCATTCCTCCCACGTGATTCGCTCAAAATGGCAACGTGTGGTGCATCCCCTTGGTGTTGCCGTCGCCATCCCCGGAAATAGCATCGTTTTTGGAACTCTTCCGTATGTCCTACAAGCGAGGATCCAGAGTTCCGGTGCCTCGAAGGTATTGCACTTGCGTAGCCGTTGAAACAAGCGAATCACTACGAACACGGTGGCAACCTCGCTCTTTGCCTCGTTTTGGTTCTTGGCGCGATCTAGGAATCCTCGGCGCCTTGTGCTCTGGGCGCCCTTTAACTGCCCCCGTCGCTTGGATGAGCATCATCATCCTGGGCATACGTTCCCGCACCTTGCTGCTTTCTTTTTTTCGCTACCCCGCCCATCTATTTTTTTTCCACTTTTCCATCTGCTGAACGAGTATGTCAGCTCAAGGGGCTGAGTGCTTTTAACCCCCGCTGGTGGCTAAACAAAAACATTGCCTGCCAAGGATTAGACGTAAGAGCTCTCATGGCCATGCAATCGTCGGAACATCCCGGCTGAGGTCTTACAGGTGTTAACATCGCTCTTAGGTCTAAGTGCTTGGGCAACAGAATCGAGCCCAGCTCAGCATCCAATGTTGCTACTCAATCCCAGTTCAGCATCCAACACTTCCACTCAATCAACTCCCAAAAACGCCAAAAGCATAGTTGTTGGCTTGATCTTAAACTGATTGCTGGGGGAGCTAGGTAGAGCTATTCTATTCATGCTACGCTGACATGTAACGCTCAATCTACAACTCGTGGGTACATGGGCAAATGCGCACCAAGCCACTCGAACCGGTCCAGACCACTTTCATGCCCCAATTACTGAAGATGTGGTCAGCACCACCGAAGGAGTTGTCTGTGGCCTTAATGCGGCACAAGTCGACGTGCCCTTGCCCATCTCTGAAGAAGTGGCGCTCATCTTAACACCACCCCCCCCCCCCTCTCTCCCGCTCCCTCCCTTGCACCGCAACGACATGAGCGTCCGACGGCCAGCTCGAACGCCTGCAAGTTCACAACAACACTCATTTCTCGCCGTGCCCGCGGCCTGACCCGGAACCTGAGCAAGCTTCTTGATCGTGTCTGAGTTGCCATCACAGTTGAAGTCGCCCGTGAAAACCATAAGATCCTGCGAGCACTGCACAAACAGTGCCCCAGTCTCAGGCAGCTCTATCTTCGGATGGTCAACTTCTCATGTGCCGTCCAAGTTGCTTGCGGCTGCTTGTGGCTGTAAACAGCTTTGATCTCAGGCACAATGCAAGCGCAAGCAGATGCCCAGACAGCAAAAGACACTGTTCTTCGGCCGGGCCACGATGCTGTCTGCAAGTGCAAAGCCGGGGCCACCCCAGCATTGACCCAAGGGTCCATGCCTCCAGCGGACCACATCAAAACAAAACTTTGAAGCCTTTTCGCATGTCTGCTGTCCAAGGATCGTGTTTGCAAAGAAAATGGTCGCACCACTTCCAATGACCTGCTTCGACAAAAAAAGGTAACTGAAACATTTGTGGACTTCCCAACCTGTTGTGCCTTGAGCCGGACCCAATTCATGTTGCGGTCGCCATACATGTCCCTGCCAATTGGGACAACTAGATAAGGACGATAAATCTGGCCCTTTTCGAACCCCATCCATCGCTTGCGAGCAGGATCCAGCAAAGCAATCCTAACTGCTGCAGGCTGTAGTCGCTGCATACGCCTGGCGATCCACATCGTAGCTGGCCCATCCACTGCAAAGAATTTGCTTTTCTGCCAAGCCATCGGGGCATCGTTGCCTGGCATGGAAGGCATTTCCGGAGGGTGCTCACATGTGCTCATTCACGGACTAAAACTGCCAGATACAAAGGAGTTGGTCCTGGGGGTGGTGTGAAGAAGTCGAAAGTCGAACCCAGACCGGCTCCCCAGATGACTCTACCTGCGTGGCAAAAGAGAAGGTTGCAATGACACAAATGAACTCACCATTTTCAAGCACATGGCCTATGTCTGAGCATTCTTGGAAGCCAATGAGGTCAAGGGGGGCATTCTCTTGGATTCTGGAAAATATTGGCTGAAATCCTGACCCACCAGCCCATTGAGGACAGGTCCCGAACTCGTCCGATATGCACCACCAATACAAATTGTAGGACGCCACCTCAGAAAGCACGGAAGCCGTGTCAGGATGTCAGCAACAAATCACACGAACAAACCAACAAACATAACATAGCCAAACCCGCACAATCCTTTCATTGGCTTTCACGTTATTGTAGCACCTGCCACATCGTAAGCCTCTGGCAGCGACTTGTTGGCCACTAACACGAACCCAAAAGGTCACCTGGCTGAAAATCCATAGCGCGACAGTGGCCTTCATGGCGAACCCTGTGCTTGAGCCAAATTCCCTGCAACGAGCAACAAGATCTGCGTCCGACACGCTCAGCGCGATTATCCCGTTCGCGTCGCCATGCGTCGCCGCGAGGTTTATGGTTTTGGGTTAAGGGGTTTAGGGCATTGGGGGGGTTTAGGGGTTGAGAGAAGGGTTTGAGAGAGGGGGTTAAAAAAGGAGAGGGGGTTGAGAGGGGGGTTGGGAGAAGGGGTTCAGAGAGAGGGTTGAGAGGGGGTTTTTGTGTTTCTTTTCTCGCGCCTTTTTGCGTCTGCAGATGTCTGTCCGAGTGGCCCACAGGCGGGGGATGCGGCTGGCGAGGGGGCACGGCGTAAAACCGCTGGCCAGTGAGCACCTCACTGACATCGGGGGCCGCCCCGTCCACATTGGCGGCCCCGGGCAGGTGGAGTGAAAGGAAGCTGGAGGCCCATACACGTGCTGCGGCAAATGCGAGCAGGGAGAACCAGCGGGCAGTGAATGCGGCGACGGAGGCATTGCGCAGGGAGGGGGCTGCGCGGGCGAGGTGGCGGATGAACAGGGCAGTTTCACGGCTCCATCTGCCACCAAGTTCGATGGCCAACACGACCAGGCGGCACCGCAGGGAACGGAGCAGCTCAGGATAGGTGCACTGTTTGGCCGCCATCAGCGGCCGTCCGTTAAAGCCGAGAGCGCTGACGAGGGTCGTGTCGACTGCAAGCTTGAGAAAAGCGGTTGGGGGGGAAGAGGGGAGGAGGGAGTTAAGAAGGGGTTGACAGAGGGGGTTGAGAGAAAAAAGGGCTGAGAGAGGGGATTTGAGAGAGAGGGGGTTGAGAGAAGGGATTGGAAAAGGAGGTTGAGAGTGGGGGTTGAAAAGGGGGTTGAGAGGGGATTGAAAGGGGGTCGAAAGGGAGTAGACAAGGTTGAAAGATGATTTTTTTTACGCACCCTTTTCCACGGGCCTCAGGGTCATGCGGGTCTAAGGCCGCAGCGGCGGAAGGCCGGGCCCAGCGCAGTCGGCCAGCGCCAGGACGGCTATGGACGGCTTCCAAAGGAGGTGCCGCGCTGAAGCCGGCGGGTTGCAATCCAGCCGCGGTTGGGGCAGTCGGCCACAGCCACTTGCACCGCCACGGACAACAGCCCCCACCACCGACGCGCCCAGCCGCTCGCCGCGCTGCGACGCACAGCAGCCGGGGCGCGGTAGCCCCGTAACCGCGTCAGGGTCCGCAAGAAGTCGCGGGCCTGGTCATTCCAGCGCCCGCCAACTTCATTGCCGAGGACCAGCAGGCGTTGGGGCCTGGGCCCACACAGGTTTTTTTTTTTTTCCCGCACCTTTTTCAACCCGCATCGTCATGTCCGTCGGCCTTGTTCACGGCCTCTCCAGGAGCAGGTCCCCCAAGGGGACCTCCGCCCCATCACCTGCATCCCGTGGGTGGACTGGCAGCTCGAGGAGAGTCTGCGCGTGGGCCCGCATGGCTGCGAGCGCTGCCAGGGCCGTCCAACGACGCGTCAAGGCCCGAGCAGTGGCGACCTGCGCCCAAGGGGCCCGCGTTCGGCCGCGGACCCGCGCGAGGCGGCGGAGGAACGCAAGCGTGCTCGTGCTGAAGCGGCCCCCTACCTCAAGGCCGAAGACGACGAGGCGACATCGGCCCCGCCCCCCCAGCTGCAGTTCAGGGTACGTGCGTTGCTTACGCCGGGCAGCCTGTTCCAGCGCAAGCCCTGGCCGCGCGTCTGCGCCGGGCCTCACCTGCCCGTCGCGTCGGACAGGGCTGACCAACGTGGTGTCCACCGCAATCTGCGCCCCCTGCCACAGAGGCAGGCCGTTGGCCACCACCTCGATCCTCCGGCCATCCGTCGCCGGCGCGTCGAGGTTGAGGTCCCGAAGGGCGACGCTGGTGGCCACCCGTGCTCCGGCCTCACGGCAAATGCGCGCCGCAGCCCGTTCAAGGGGCCCCGCTCTCTGCGCGAGCACCCCGACCTGAGCACACGCAGATCTGTGGTCCCCGAGTTCATCAAGGGCCCCCCCGCAGCGGCAGCGGCGAGGGGCGAGTGGCAACGCCAGGCGCAACCGCCTCAGGAGAAAAATTCGGAACTCCCCATTGTCGACCACGAAGTCTGGGCCGCTCGGGACGACGGTGAACGCGCAGCTCGCACCTTCGCCGCTCTGGGACAGCAGCAGCGCTCGGGATGCAGGATCCAAGTCAGAGAAAAGCATCTCGAACGCGCGCTTGTCCACAGCAGCTCCGGCTCCTTGCTGCCAGCCCCGCCTCGTTGGGGCAGGGGCCCGTCGTCGTCTCCGAGGTTTGGAGGGGCCATTTCCTCCAACAGCGCTGCCCACGTGGGCGCCTCGTACCCTTGCAGGCGCAGGGTTTGCGCAGCCTGGTCGGCCTCCCTGACACTGGGGGGCACACCGGCTGCCGCAACACTCAACAGGGGCCGCATTAATGTGGCCAATGTGCCTGGATGGCACTCTTGCAGCGCGGTGACCGTGTCTGCCCATGAGGCCCAATATGCTGCATGCCTGTGCTCCCTGGCAGGCGACAAGCCCAAGCCCCCCATGCGAAGCGGCAGGCGAGCACGCCTCGCACTATTGGGAGAAAGCTCCAACGGCACATCCCCCCCAGACAACAAGGTCGCCAGGCAACACAGTTCGGGGTACGCGGACGCATGCGGACGCTTGCGGCGCTCGGCATGGCGCAGTGAGGCCCGGGAGTACGGCGCCGTGATCCGCGCCAGCAGCGACCTGGCCTTCTGGGCCAACAGCCTCGCGAGCAACGCGAACCCATGCGTTCGGGATGGAAGTAGGCGGCAGGTGGGCTCCCGAAGCCGCCACCTTCATCCGCTTGCTGGCGAGAGCGCGCGCAGCGGAGGTGCCTGCCTCTCTCCGGATTGCTGCCCGGGCAGCGTGGGTCGTGAGATGGAGCGGCATCCTTGCTGTTGCAGCGCAGCGAACCTCGCAACATCCCTCCTCGAGCTGCCTCCAGGTGGGGAGTGTAGTGCTGGCGGGCCGGAGCCCGCCCTGCTCGCCGACGCGCGCTGGCAGGCGACTCCCGCCTACTGCCGCCTCCCCATGCGTGCTGTCTGAGGCCGAGGCGATTCCCTTAGCTGTCTGAGGCCAAAGCGCCGTGCACAGGGACCCGCGTGTTGCGGAAAAAAAAAAAAAAAAAACCATGCACGCTCCACGACCTTCGCCCGGCGTGCCAGGAGGTTCGTTGGCGGGGCAAAATTACGCGAGGCGGCAGGCAAGGGCGGGACCTTCGGCAGAGTCGGCAAGGATGTCGCTGAGGGGCGGCGCGTCCTTCCGGCCAAGGGCACGCAAAGGGGACGCCTGCTGCGGTCGTGTGGGCGAGCCACTGCTGCGAAGCACGACGTGACTTTCGGCTCCGACGGCCTCTCGCGCCACGCAGACCTTTCTTTGAGCAGGCGAGGGCATGGTCGCCGTAAGGGTCCATGGCGCCCCCCACGTCCTGGGTTGGGGCCTCAGTGTCCGGAGCAAAAAGGCAGCAGGTGCACGCGACGCCTCAAGGCAATGTGTCTCGCTTGTGGCACGGTATGCCATGCACCAGCATGCGGTCCTGCTTGGGAGCGGAGAAGTGCGCGCGCGCTATCACGGGAGGTAAGGGTCCGCGATGCGTGGTACTGCCAACCATCCGTCCAGTCACCGGCACCTGGCGCCACTGGCGGCGAGGGCTGTCGAGGAGCATGCAGCGACTAGACCTGCTTGTGTACCCAGTGACGCCCACAGGGCCAGGCCTTGTGCTGCGGTGCCACCCTCGTGTCGCTACTGACACGCACAGGGCAACCGCAGCCATGCAGAGCGGACGTCGACGGGGCAACGCTTCGAGCTGCGCAGCGACATAGAAGCGCTGGAATGGCGGTTTTTTTCCCGCACTTTTTTACCAACGTCCAACGCGGTGCCTGTGCTCTAGCCCCCGCCGGGCGACATCCTCCGGGCAACAGGCAGCGGGCGGTCATGCCAGGCGGCTGGCGTGTGGTGGCTGCGCAGTTGAGTCAGTGAGGATGTCGCTCAGGGGCGGCAGCTCCCCATCGACATTGGCCATGCCTGTGACAGGCAGAGAGAGCAGGCTGGCAGCGAAGGAGCGCGCGGCAACGAAGGATAGGAGGGCCGACCAGAGCGTGTAGGCAGAGATGGCGGCGGCTCGTGAAGGGGGCGGTGCTGACCGCGCCATGCACCTTGCGAGCAGGCGGACAAAGGTGGCGGCCTCAGTGCTCCAGCGCCCACCAAGCTCGCGCGCGACGACGGTCAGCCGGCAGCGGCTGGACACGCACAACTCAGGGAATGTGCGCTCCTTGGCACTTCGGGCAGTCAAAAGCGCTGCGCCAGCTGTTCCACCGGCAACCCTGCGGGGGAGCCCGGCAACCGTCAGGGGAGACACGAGCGTGGTGTCGACTGCGAGTTGCGCTCCTCCCCACAGCGGCAGGCCGTTGGCAATGACCTCGATGCGCCTGTCGTCTCGCCGGATGGGGCCGCCCCGCGCACGAAGAACACCAGAGCGGGGGCAGGCTGCGAGATGGTCGCCCTAAGGATCATGGATTGCGCGGCACCGGCATCTGGCAGAGGTCAGCGGCAACGGCAGCCGGAGTCTGCGGAAGGGGCGACTCCAGGGTGAACTCCGGTAGGGTGGGACGCGTAGTGAGAACGCGCGCAGCATGAGGTCCGGCCTGCGAATCCAGCAGGGCGGCCGAGGCAGCATCGGCCTCCTGCAGGAAAGCCTTATGGCAAAAGTCGTCGACTGCTTGGGACGCCGGGCGCTGGTCAAGGGAAGGGTCGTCTTCGGGGAGGGCTGGCACTTGAGCATGCAGCAACTCCGCCCAGGCAGGGGGCTCGAAGCCAACGGCAGAGAGCGAGTCTCGGGCATCTCGCGCTGATTGCAAGGCCGACGGAGCCGGCGACCTCACGTGCAAAGTCGGGGTCGCGCCGGGCGATGGCATGCAAGGCGTCCGCCCACAAAGCCCAGTAGGCAGCTGGTGCATGGTGTGTCGCGCTGCGCAAGCCGAGGCCGCCGTGCCGCAATGCCAGCTGCGCACGCGCCTGCGCAGGTTCAGGCAGTTGCGACGCCTCATCGGCAAACAGGAGCGCGGAAAGGCAGCGGAGGACTGCGCCATCAGGGCCTGAGGGTGCGGAGGGCATATTGCGCATGCGGCGCTGCGCACAGGAGAGCAACAGCCATGCTGGGAGTCATGGAGGGCGGGGGGGTTGTCGAGGAGGCCGCCCTGGCGGGCAAGGGCGGCACGCAGGTGTGCTTCGACGAACTCCGGAGTGCCACGAGGAACACCAAGGGCAACAACACCACGCTTCGGGGAGTCAGGGGCAAGGGCGAGCACACCTGGTGGGAGAGTGCCAGCGGAGTTCAACCCTTTTGTCTTAGCAGCCTTGAGGCGGAGGCGCGTGATGCCACAAGTGGTGAACTATGTCCGCGCGCAGGCAAAGTCTCAACAGAAAGCCAGAGGAGAGCCACACACGCAAGTCCGAAAGCTCGTCGGGGTCTCGGAACTGCAATCTGGTAAGCAATGGTCCCTCCGGAGCCCAAGCCAACAAGGTTCGTCGGCAAGGAAGTGAGGCCGCTGCTTCCGAGCTGGTGCGTGATGCTGCAGTGCTAGCGCGTGCCGATGCAGCCGCCCCACCACAGGCCCCACCCGTGCCCGGCCCCGAGCCCCCAACACCAACCACGGACAACAGCTCCAGCAACTCTTCTTCCTCCAGTGACAGTGACGACGAAGCTGTTGATGGCGCGTCGCCCCACTGCGGCCCCGCCGCCGCAGCCAAACACTGCAGAAGCCACCCAGGATGCCACTCACCCCTCCCCACACACAGACTCCGACACACTGCACGGCCCGCGGCGCTAGTTTGGACCCTTTCTCTGCCAAGGACGTCTTGTTGCAGCCTTGCAATTTGTTCCGCACTCCACCGGCTTTTTGCAAACCCCAACTCCGCTTTGCGCTGCGCTTCATCGGCGATGCCACTGGCCCGGACCCATCCGCCCCGACCTTCGCCTCAGAGGACGACGTGCGTGCTCGGAAGCTTTGGCTTTTTCCTCCCGCGCATGTTGCTTTCCCGCCCCGCCGGAACTGACCGAGTGCCGAAACAGGCAATTCTTGCAAGGTTCACAGGCTTTTTTCGGGATGACTGGGAACCCCTGCTCCGCGCAGCGCTAGCCGAGGCCGGCGCCCCAGCCAGGCCCACCACCAGCAACTTTGATGACTTGCCACGCCGACTTGAGCGCGTGCTGCGCCAGGCCGCAGCGGCTATACAGCTCCAATCGCGCATGAATGGCAACACGCATCGCCCACTCGGAACTTCATTGCCGCCTGCTCGTCCAGCTCTGTTGCTGTCTTTTTTTGGTCCCCACGCCGGCGCTTGCTTGTCGGCGATACGCAAGGACGACGCTGCCGCTGCAAACCAGCCCTTAAAGCTGACCGCTGGCCAGTGCGGGCCTTCGCGCTGTGACGAGACCCTAAGCCCTCAAGCAAAGATCGCCGCGTTCGGGTAAAGTTTGCCACGTAGAGCACGTGGGCATTTGTGGATGAACAGTGTTGCCCATCTCCTGCGGCGCAAGGACAAGCCGCAAAAGGCTGTCGTCTGACAGTACATCCCAGTTGCAACTAAAGAACTGGCAAGCGTTGTGCGCAGGGCCGCTAGCGTCGTCGCCTGGCGCGAGCACCCCACCTGCCAGCACCTGCGAAGTGCGCGACAACTGCCCTTGGCACACGCAGGCACAGGCATGCTCCCGGCGAGTCCAGACGTGCTCCCGGTGGGCCCAGGCATGCTTTCGGTGTGCCTGGTCGGTATCAGCACGCCCCTCCCTCGCCATAGGAAAATGTTGGGAGCGCGGCGTGCGGACCAACCGCTCCACATTCCGGGCTTCGGCGAGCTCAATGATCTGCGAGATGCTTCCTGCACGGCGCGCAGCGAGCTGGATGGGCACGCGGAACTTGTCGGAGCGGTCAACCCCGTCCAGGATCGTCCAGGCACGCTCGCGCTAAAAGGGAACCAGCCCGAGTTGTGGGCCCGGATGCTGGCACAGGCATCTCCCCTTCTGCGAATCCTGCGGCCCGGGATCAGCCGAGGAGCTCGGCGACTCGCTGCCCGCAGCCACGTGCCCAGCGACTCGCGACGCTTGGCCTTCGTCTCTGCGTTTTGCGGCGGCGCTCGGGAACATTGCAGCCGCAGTTTGTGTTTCCCCTCCACGCCTTTTTTTCCACCATCCTCGCAGTCCCAGCAGGAGCTCGGGCGGCGTGGAGCTCACGAGAACAGCGCGGAGCAGTGGAGGCCCGCCATCAACACTCTCAGGAGGTCTCGTAGAAGCGGGCGGTAGGGCTGAGGAGGCCGGAGCGACAAATCTGTCACGATCGTGCGTCTGCGCTTGCCACCGTTGGCTTTTGGTGCCGCACCCACACGGGCGCGGGGCGTTGCCCCTTCATCCGCCTGTTGGGGGGGGGGTCCAGGCGCGGCCATGCAGGAAACACACATAAGCAGCCGGAAGAAAAAGAAGGACAACATGGCACAACAATAGAAAGACATTCACGTTAAATTAAGCATTATCGAACCTCAATCACGCGTAAATAAAGATTAAATATTACGCGCGAAGATGCGCAAAGAAAAGCAGTTATGCAAAAACCAAACTAGGTCATTCTCCCTATTTTCCGGCCCGTCTCGTTCGCAGACTGACGGGAATGGAAGCAAAGCGCTGGAATGCAAGAAGCCAGATGTTGCCAGTAATTCTTTGAACCCTCGCACCTTTTTCCGTCGGTCAGGGTGGTCCCAGTGCAGAGCGCTCAAAGGCCCGAGGCAAGGCTCGAAGCACTTACGGGAGGCGGCTGATGATGGGAGGAAGCAGGGTGGAGTCGACATGAGTCGACTCGAAGCGCTTAATTGAGGAGCGGCGGGTCCCCGTCGACGTTGGCCGTGCCGCCGAGCGGAAGCGACAGGAGGCCAGCTGCGAAGAGCGCGCTGCAGCGAAGGAGATGCGGAACGACCAACGGAGCCGCGAATGCAGAGATGGCAGCGGCCCTCCGGATGGGGCCTCCGGGAGGATGGGACGGCACGCGCCCGCATGCCGTTGGCTGAGCGTGTCGAAAATATGGGGTTGCGTCGTGTAAGAGAGTTAGCTCACTATGCTTACATGCACTGTAGACAGTCCTGCAAGATGTCTGCAAACAATGCGGCCGGAGCTCTGCAAAACAGACAAAGGCTTGGACAGCAGCAAACAGCCTCAAAGAAGTCTGCTCCCTACCATCCCCGCCCCAGCAGCCAAGTATGAGCACATTTCTCTCGCGAGCACGGAGGCGAGAAGCTGCCGCTGCCAAAGGTCAGAGGCAGCCCTGGCATGGGAACGTGGTACAAGCTGGGCGGTTTCGAGCGCTAGCTGTGTAAGATGACAGGGCACAGGAGCCAAACAGTGGAGCAGAGGCAAGACTGGATCAAGAGCGAAAGAAAGTTACACTGCAGCGCACGCCTAAACCCGAGCCCCTTCCCCCCTGAGGCGAGGGCAACCGCGCCACCAGCAGCGCGAGCGGCCTATCAAAGATGAACAGCTAAAGCTTCATCGAGCGTATCAAGCATTCTCCACATCTCTCTGGGACTTCTGAGAACAAAAGAGCAGGTGCCATTGGACAAGCAAGGCCCTCAGATTCCTTCTCACATGAGACCGCAATCTACCACAGTCCGGCCTGCAAGCCTTGAGCAGCCTTGGTGGTGACAAGCTCCGCCCTTGGTAGCAGTTGGGATCATAGTTCAGGGCTCCGGATGCTCCGCAAAACCGTTTTGGGGTTCAGGGTTTTTAGGGTTTAGGGTTTCGGGTTTAGGGTCGAGGGTGGGATCCCCGAAAACAGCCGGGCTCTGCGGCGGCTCGAAGCTGCTCCCCAGCGACAGGCGCAGAAGCGCATCCTCCGGGGCTTCTTGCAACACTCCAGGTTTTTGGAGTTTTCTAGGGGGGGGGAGTTAGGTTTGGGCTGTAGGTTTTTGGTTTTACTGTTTTAGGTTTAGGGGAACCTCTCTTGGAATACAACTTTGGAGACTCCCAGGGTCTGACGAACCGCTGGACCACTGGGCGTGTCGGAAGGCACACACATCAGCGCACACACAGGCCCCCAAAGTGGAGGTGGCAGCAGAATGCAGCAGAGGATGGCCTGCTGGTTCGGGGACAGGGGAGTGTCCATCGGCTTCTGAAGCTGCTTCGCGACCTGAACGTCGGGTTGCACCGGTACGGAGCCCTGCTCACATGCATGGCGCAGCTTTTTCAAGGCTGGGGTATGTCTGGGGCTTGGTGTACCATTCAGGGAGCTTCATGTTTGCAAGCGAAAAAGCACACAAAGTCTCCCAAGTCGGCCTCCCGGTACTTCTGCGCTCTTCTCTCGTAGTCCTGGCGCGCTCCCACCAGTGCAGTTTAGGGCATAGGCCTTAGGGTTGCTGGCAAAAAGTTCCAGCGAGCAGCGGCGCACTCCTCCGCCAGCTGCGGAAACTCGTGGTACCCAGTGATGCCATCGACCTGCCCACTTCGCGTCTTGTCATCCCCAGCATGTTCTAAACCCTAAACCCTAAACCCTAAACCCTAAACCCTAAGTTGGGGGGGTTGTTTCTGGAAGGCTCCACAATGCCTGAGGCTTGTTGCTCATGGATCTGAGTCGCGCTGCTGCCGCCTGCCAGACAAGGGATGCGCATCAACAACTACCAGCTGCCAGAAACAGTGGGATCAAAAGAGGAAGAACAAACATGCAAGAGGAATTGAAGAGGAGTTCGAGACCCGCCTCATACTGCTCGATGACGCTTTGAACCTCAGGTCGCTTTCGGAAGGGAGTTCCCAGGTGGGGGTACCTTATATAAGGGCTCCAGCAGGGGGGACAACCATAAATCCTGAACCTCAACTCTAAACTCGCAAACCTCATCCAAACATCTAAGGGCAATCCCTATGTGGGATGTTGTACCATTGGCAGCACACCGGGGGGGACTGGTCTGTGGGGGAAGGGGGGTGGGGTGCCAATCGCCCTGAACCCCAAGTGCAGAAGGTTCAATTAGGGGCCGGTCCTTCCGCACAACTTCGAGGTCTGCTCCATGCGTGGTGATCGGCATTGCGATTCTCAGCACTGTCAGAACATCGTCGGGATTCGTGTCACGTGAGAAAGGTGATGTCAGGTAAGGTAGACAGCCTAGCTCTGCGAATTTCACTCGCTGCCATGCCAACTCTGTCGAGCCCGCAGCCACGGAATGCCAGAGCTACTGAAGCGACCGCGTGGCATAGGAGAAACCTCTCTGGAAAGATACGATGGCATCACAGCATCGGGACAGCTGCTCCAACTACGCAACATCTTTCAGCGACACAACAAACGCGTGAGGATCGGGCATGCCAATGTACACAAACGCAACACATCTAAGGCCCGGCATGCGAAATGTCCATTGGAATGTCTTAGAACCTGGTGCAGACGAGGTTGCATGAAGTGGCATGCATCTCATGCAACCCCACAGATACCGCAAGCCATCTGCGGCTGGAACTCATTTCTGCATGCGCACGGACAGAAGCTTCTGCTGTTGCGTCTGGCGTTGAGCAGCTAGCTTCAAGCTGCAAGGCACATGCCTCACCATCCTAGCCCAAAACCTTTTCTTTGAAAGTCGGCCCTAGGTTTCTGAGCGATCGGATCTGCACAACTACGGCTTTGAACGCTTCCAACTCGCACCTAGTAGGCCGGTCGGCTCTCCACAGCTCAGGTCCGTCGCTTGACATTGAGCTCTGCCGGCATTTTCAGTCAAGGAATCTGTGTCGGACTTCTTGAAACGTTCAGCGCCACGCCATGCCTATGCCTGGGAAGCCTCCGGATACATGTCCTTGACCGCTTCAATTCAACAACCTGCTATTGAACATCTACGAGGTCAAGCAACCACCAGGCGAGTCGGCAGTCTCAGAAAGAACTTCTCAAGTCAAGTCGGTGAGTTTCATAGATTTCCATAAGGAACGAGCAGGCAAAGGAGTTTGCAGAAAGCATACGCACAATGCCGCCTGAGAGAACTGAACTCGCAACATTGTGGACATCACCAGAACCTGTTGACACCCCCCGCCACTCTCTGCCAATGACAGCACGAATTATCCTGCCAGCTGGGCTAGGCCACAAGTGAAATTCTTCAAGCCGTGTGCAGGCCAGAACTCCTACAGTTTGCGGGATTCCGGAAACAATCCTGGAGATGTGCTAGGTCAGATAGGAGCGCTCAGCAGAAACGTTAAACATTAAAAGACGTGTGACCATGAAAACCCGAACAGTAGGTGTACCATGAAAGTTGGGCTGCTGCTTCCACTCATTGAAGCTAGAACGAGTGTAACTATCGAGACTCATGCTGTACTTCATTTGAGTGCTCACTGCTGCTCAGGGATCCGGCATGCTGGCCTCAGGCAGAGAGCTTGTTCTTCGGTACACATTTTTGTGAGTTGCGTCGGCAAGATGCACGAACCGAGCATTCTTTCAGGGAACGATGCCGGGCGGCTACCAGAGGATGCATTCTGGGACAGGCCTACTCGGCGCAAACTCGCACCGAGCACGCTGCTCCTCGGCCCTTTCTTGCCTTGCGAAAGCCGCCATCCTGGCCAGGTGATTTAAACTTTTGGTTGGGGGTTAGGGGTTTTGTGGTGACATCAAAGGCAAACAAAGCCAAAACACAGAAGCGCGATGAGCAAGACCCTTGAAGGATTGAGATTTATAGGCGGGCTTGCAGTTTCGGGTTGTGGTCGTGTCTCAAGATCTAAATTTTGCCGCGAGAGTTTAGGGTTTAGGGCCAGGGTGCTGGGGAACTCCAAAAACCCTTAACCACCTAAACCCTCACAAAGGCGCTAAAACCCCAAAACCCTAAATTCTCGGCTGCTGCCGTCGCCGCTGGCGTCACTGGATCCGCGTGCGCCAACCACAGAGGCACGGGGTTTAGGGTTTAGGGTTATGTTCTGTTTTAAACTTGGCCGGCATTGCAAGCAGCGAGTTAAGGTTTAGGGTTTAGGGTTTAGGGTTTAGGGTTGAGGGTTGAGGGTTGAGGGTTGAGGGTTGAGGGTTGAGGGTTGAGGGTTTAGGGTTTAGGGTTTAGGGTTCAGCAGTTCTGAGCGTGCAGAGTCAGTCCAGCCACGCTTTCGATTAACACCCACCCGCCCAAAGAATCCCACCACATCCGAACATATTATTCTTGAAAAAACAGCGCCACTTTGTTACGGGGCGCTTCCCGAAAAGAAGCGCCACTTTGTTACGGAGCGTTTCCCCTTCACAAAAAAACGCCACTTTCTTACGCAAAAAAAAACACCACTTTGTTACGGAGCGTTTCCCCTCCAACGCCCGATGACCGAATGGGGCTTAAGCTTAAAATTGACATGGTTCTAAAGTGCCCAGCTAGTGTATCAAGGGGGTCTGCAGATGGTTCGAAAGTGCTCAGCTAGCGTTTAATAGCTCGAAGGACCGAATGGGTCTGGAGGTTGATCACATGATGTCGAGACCAGAAAATGTGAGGACAGACCCCTGTGTTAAACGGACCACCGCCAGCTATCCTAACCCATGCACCCTGCACCCCATCTGGCTGTGCGTTTTTTGTGAAGGGGAAACGCTTCGTAGCAAAGTGGCGCTCCTTTTTTCGAAAGGGAAAACGCTCTGTAACAAAGTGGCGTTTTTTCTTAACGCTCCGTTAGTGTTTTGTTTTGAAGGGGAAACGTTCCGTAACCTAGTGGCCTGTTTTTTAAGGGGAAACGCTCCGTAACAAAGTGGCGTGTTTATTTTTTCGAAGGAGAGCGCTCCGTAACAAAGTGGCGTTTTTTGTGAAGGGGAAACGCTCCGTAACAAAGCGGCGGTCTTTTTGCGTAGCAAAGTGGCGCATTTTTTTAGAAGGTCAAACGCTCTGTAACAAAACGGCGTTTGTTTTGAAGGGGAAACGCTCCGTAACAAAGTGGCGTTGTGTTTAAGGGAGACGTTCCGTAAAAAAATTGGCACTTTTTTCAAGAATAATTTGCTCGGATGTGGTGGGATTCTTTGGGCGGGCGGGTGTTGGTCGAGAGAATGGCTGGACTAGACTCCTCACGCTCAGAACTGCTGAACCCTAAACCCTAAACCCTAAACCCTAAACCCTCAACCCTCAACCCTCAACCCTCAACCCTCAACCCTCAACCCTCAACCCTCAACCCTCAACCCTCAACCCTCAACCCTCAACCCTCAACCCTCAACCCTAACTCGCTGCTTGCAACGCTGGCCAAATTTAAAACAAAACAGAACCCTAAACCCAAAAATCCCGTGCCTCTGTGGTTGGCGCACGCGGAGCCAGTGACGCCAGCGGCGACGGCAGCAGCCGAGGGTTTAGGGTTTTGGGGTTTTAGCGCCTTTGAGGGTTTAGGTGGTTCAGGGTGTTTGGAGTTCCCCAGCACCCTGGCCCTAAACCCTAAACTCTCGCGGCAAAAATTTAGATCTTGAGACACGAACACAACCCGAAACTGCAAAGCCTGTAAATCTCAATCCTTCAAGGGTCTTGGCTCTAAGGTCACAACCCGAAACCCTGACCCTAACCGTGACTTGCCAGCCTCGTCGAAGCTCTCGATCCTTCTTGAGTTCTTTCACCTTCAGTATATGTCTCAGCATGTTCCATTGGTCAACACATCAGCTGCGGGACAAGGCGCAGGCCTCCTCGATCAGATTGTCCAGGTCCTGCAAAAGTACTTCGAAGGTAACAGATACGAGGGTTCAAGAAACACTCTGGAAGGGCGGCTCTCCCTGACGCACGAGAAGGAACAGAAAGAGGAGCTGCTTACGTGAGACTTTGCACGGCTGCCCCACATCGAGACCGTGCAATCGAGCGAGACGCTCATGAACACTGCATTAGCTCATGGCCAGCTGCTACACCGATCATGCTTTTGATTGACATCTCAAACTCATCAGATTGAGGTAGGACATGCCTCAGACTTCAAGAAGACCCCGCTGGCTCAACAGCAACAGTGATGCTGGAGACACAGCGCTGACCCTGGCTCTGAAGAACGATGCCAATATACCATTGGAATATCCCCTACTTTTTCGGGTGTGGGGGGGGTCAAAAATGCGAATTTGCATTTCTGGCCCCCCGAATGCACACTTCTGAAATCTTGATGGTCAGCATGCTTAACACGCGCACACTCTGCAACACAGACCATTTTCATTCACTTCCCCCACCCCATATATAAATGCCACCCAACCCCCCTCCCCCCAGATACATGTAGGAAAAAAGGGGGATATTGGAGTGATTTTGTGCTGTCATCGACTTGTTCTGTGACTCAACGGGATAGAAAGCTCGACCTACACGGACTTCGCAAAGGCTCAACACTTGTGGCAAGCATTCTAGCAAATCAACCCTGAAGGTTGGCAATTACGTGCTCGAATGGCGACGTTGCCCTCCGCTGACGAACGGATGCTGGGTGGCAACAGTGTCTAATCATTTGCCCCGACAGACGGGGCCCCTCATAAAGGCAGCACAATGGAAATACCGTCGGAAATACCAAACCGACACACGATTGGTGCCCCAGGCTTACGGCCAATCCAGATTGGCAAATTAAGAAACGTCGATACGGCAGCTACTACAAACATACTGGGAAGTGACGTATCGCGGAGATAGTCGATACGCAATGCTTCACTCACAAACT